AATAACATGTTATTCATACTATGTATTGCCTGTGAAGCAGACGCTGTTGAAACGTTAGCAGAATTTTGATCTTGTGGTTGATTATGAGGTATCGGAGTAGAAGTACCTGTAGCCGGAGTAGATTGAATCAAGCTTGCTTGAAAAAGAAGATCTACAGGATTAGTCTGTGCTGAACCCTTAACAAATATGCTATACTTTGTCTCAAACTCATCCATACACTCAAGAGTAACTGATAATAATTTCGAACGTTCGTCGGTTTGTGCTGGATCGGCTGGAGCGATACATTCAACCCTATTAAGTAAATGAGCTAACTTAGTTTTTAATTTTGAAACAAGAGATGTAGTAAAATCTTCTTGTAAAGCTTGTTTAACTTCATTAATTTTTGTTGCACAAATAACTAATTCATCAGTAGATTTGAAACTTACAATTGAAAAACTATGACCTTCTCCTTCTAAACGCATCAGTTGTCTTAACTTTGCTACTAGTTCTTTAGTAGAACCTTGAGGAATAGCTCCTCTTAATTTAATTTCATATTCAAGCTCTTCTTTATTAAGCCTATCTTAAAAAGAGACATTTTGTTTTATATTATTCTTTTTTTTTTTATTTGCAACAAGACTTTTTATACTTAAAAGTTTTTACTTAGGAACAAAAAAAAATATTAAATTACACTATTGATTACTTCCTGTACTGATAACTAGTGGAATTGCTGTAAATGTGGAAAATACGAAAATTCAAAATTAAATATTTGCTCTGCGGTCCAAATATTAATAATTACTTTACTTATATGAATTTGTATATGTTCAGGGTTGCCAAAAAGTATATTATAATTAATATAATTATACTACAAATAATGTGTGTTCCTGTAGAGTTTAAATTTATGCCAAAATACAGTGTCAAAAATTTATTATTAAGGCCTTATGCTCAATTATTATTAAAATTACTAAAATATGGCTTCAAAATATGACTAAATATGTGGAAGAATATACCCCAAAAATATTGGTCAATTAAATTATTTGCTCGGGCGCCAAAATATGCTACGCTCCAAGGGCCGTAGCGAATGAACAAAAATATTCTTTCTAACCTACACTATCTTCCTTGGACTTTTATTAAATTGTTTAAGTTAAACGGTTAAATATTGTTAAATTAAATCGTTATCTTTGACCAAGTTACTGGTATATTTTACTCATAATCTGGTTACAAACATTGGTGTCATTTAGTGAATGAGAATCAGCCCACACACAGCAGAAACAATGCATAGAAATAATAAATAAGAACAGTCTCACCCAGTGGTCACTTTCAGCAGCAATGGTTGAATACTGATGGTGCATAGGTGGCTTAACACCAACTTCCTCGAGTGATCCTCTGGACTCAAAGCGACCGGTCAATTCTGTTCGACAGTCGACTCTAATAGACTTACTTTCTTACAGTATCGTAATACCTATGTGGAAAGATTTTATGATTAATTTTAAGGAAATGAAACAATAGATTCCAGGGGGGGGGTGGATGTATTTCCTCTTTTCAATTTTTAGCTATAACCATAACTTACACTTTGAAATGTTGAATTGAGCACAAAAATATGTTAAGATTTACTATTAAATTATATGCTATAATTATTTCATTGAACAAGTCTTTGTTACCTTAAGCAATTGCTTGAAGCTCACATATACCTTACCTAGTTATTAAATTAACAGAAAACAATCAGTAGTAACCAACCCTTACATGGGCGGGGATATAATTTATTATAAAATTATTTTAATACATAGAGTTCCACTGCTAGGTGGTTCAACCTCTAAAATAACCCAATGGCAGTAAATCCATGAAGTGAAAGAAACTTTGAAAATAAACTTAATAACTGTGTACTTAGCTTAATTAACACCAAATGGTGTCGAGCAGAATACACCGGTGATGCCTCGTCATCCAACAATCGACTTAAACACCACTCCTCCGAAGACGGAAAATGGGGAAACACATCGAAGCCAAAATAAAGGAATCATCTAACATCCGTAACATCTAACTGGGACTGGAATACTGGAATGGAAGTTTCCACGCCGGTTGCCGGTCATCAAAAAAAAAACAACACAAAGAAAGCTCCCAAAATTGCATGGAAAAGAGCACACCTTTTCGGCCTTGAGCTCCCTGCCCAAAAATCCCGTCGAAACGAGATGGTTCCAAAAGAAAATGGTGGTTGAACTTGTGAAGAACAAAATCCCTTTTTACAAGGCTGGATACAACTAATACTCCTACTGTGTCGTTAAAATACAAATCCCGCTGCGCGGTCACCTTCAGCGGCTCCTCTAGCCACTTATTAGGCACAATGGTCCCTTGCGGAACCTTTAACTCAGACACGTTCTTCCAGAATAAAATCATTCTCCCCGAAAACATCGCCACGAGCCACGAAGAAAATTCGAGAAGACGGACATTACCAAAAAAAAAATATTCCGGAACCCATATGGTACCAACATCAACAATTTAAAGTTTCCAATATAAAATATACAACAACAGAGACGTACTCACTCAAAGCCCTACTTAAAATTTTTACAGAAACCCTTGTAAATATGTGTTGACAGCATGAAAGATACACTACACTATCTATCTACCTAATTACCCTTGTTTAACATCCCAAATTACCAATTACCCTTATTTAAAACCCTTTACAAACAATTTATTAACTACCCAAAAATTAAGTACGGACCTGGTTTAAGACCACTGACTGTTCGCTAAAATTAATATATCTAGTTGAATAGGCAACATCTAATACAACAAAGTGTGTTGTGTTGACTATAGATAGTTAACCAAATAATTATTATAATTTTAAATGACTTTAATTACTTACTATTTTGACTATGAAATTACGACAGTTTAATTATTATAGAAAACCATTCTAACGAATTTTAATACCGTAACAATAGAGCAAGGGAGAAGGAGGCCACCCTAGTGAACTGGATACGCAGGTGGGAGGAGCTTGAGGGAGTCGCCCAGTGGACGAAGACAGTCATCCCGGACCTGAGAGCATGGCTGGAGTGTAAATTTAAAAAGATCGACCACCACATGACGCAATTCCTAAGCGGGCATGGATGCTTCCGTTCGTACACCCACAGGATAGGCAAGGTTCCGCACACAAGATGTATATATTGTGAAGAGGAGGTTGATGATCCCGAACACACTATTCTCCGCTGCAGTAGATGGAGAGAAAATAGAACAGGGTTAAGGATCGATTTGGAAGAAGCAAGCGCGGTAAATTTCATCAGCTGGATGCTAAGCGGCGAAGAGATGTGGAATGAGGGGCACAAATTTGTGGCTGAGGTTCTCAAACAGAAAGAAAGGGAGGAAAGGGAATTCACAGAATTTGAGCACTGAACCAAAAAAGGGGAAGAAAAGAAACGGATGGAAATGGCGAACATATCGGGGCGGCCGATCTACCAGAAGAAATGCCGAAAGGTGATCCCTGGTAGACAAACGGAAGAGCCGCAAGGGGGTTTTAGTCGGAGTAGCGCCCGACACTACCGAGCACATAGAACCAGTGTCTCGGTGCCATGCGGTTTCCCCCTCAAAAAAAAAAAAAAAAAAAAAAAAAAAAGGTTAGGTTGGGTTAGGTTAGGTTAGGTTAGGTTAGGTTCGGTTAGGTTAGGTTAGGTTAGGTTAGGTTAGGTTAGGTTAGGTTAGGTTAGGTTATGTTAGGTTAGGTTAGGTTAGGTTAGGTTAGGTTAGGTTAGGTTAGGTTAGGTTAGGTTAGGTTAGGTTAGGTTAGGTTAGGTTAGGTTAGGTTAGGTTAGGTTAGGTTAAGGTTAGGTTAGGTTAGGTTAGGTTAGGTTAGGTTAGGTTAGGTTAGGTTAGGTTAGGTTAGGTTAGGTTAGGTTAGGTTAGGTTAGGTTAGGTTAGGTTAGGTTAGGTTAGGTTAGGTTAGGTTAGGTTAGGTTAGGTTAGGTTAGGTTAGGTTAGGTTAGGTTAGGTTAGGTTAGGTTAGGTTAGGTTAGGTTAGGTTAGGTTAGGTTAGGTTAGGTTAGGTTAGGTTAGGTTAGGTTAGGTTAGGTTAGGTTAGGTTGGGTTCCACTCCTAGGAGCTGTAAGACCTTACCGTTGGTGGAGTGGTTCAGTAGCTCCCTGTTCTCGCGCCCTATTGGACGGGAATGGGTAGTGAAGCCGACAAACAGCTCAAAATGGTCGGTGGGGCACTGGTGGGGTCACTGATGCCGACTAGGTGATACCAATAAATACCAGTTCAAGAACATCAGCCCAGCTAACAAAAGCAAACCGGCAAGTCCGACCCTGAAATGAGAGGGCGAATGGCGAGATCCCGGCGCCACAAAACGGGGACCACGTTGGCTAAGGGAAGGAAAACCCCGACAGAAAACCAATGTTAACGGAGTATGAAATGTCGAATTTTAATAACATGGTACCCCAGGGGGGTAGGACACTGTGTCCAGAATCCCCCTCCGTGAAAACGGACAGCCCCGCGGATTCTGGGGGGGGGGGAGGGGCAAAAATTCGTCTATGACGGGGGACATCGGTCCCGACTTAAATGAAAATAAAGAAGGGAGAAGGCTGGATGGCAGCAGGAGGCAGTCTCTAAATCAGCCCACAGTTATAGAAATCATGGATGAAGGATCAGCATCGAGGAACCAGGATGATGTCGCTGAGGCAATCACTGGAACAAAGGAAAATATGGATAAAAAAGTGGTTGTAGCCATTACTAAAACAACGGACACAAGCGTTGGTTCTGAAAAAACCAAAACAACAGACAGAAGAGATAAAAAAAATACCAGCCATGAACGCAGTAGTTTTCGAAAGAACACACTCGCTATCAGAGGTACCAAAGAAAAGGAAAATACAAGATACATCATTTTTGACGGAAAACCTGGATCCGTATAAAAAGATAGAGAGCCCAGAAGTATTCGTAATAATGGAGGCACTTGAACAAAATGCGAAAACTGCAGAGGCTTTAAAGAACTTGATAAGTGAAGTGCCAAACACCCACAAAAAAATTAAGGATTTATAGTCAAAATGAACAAGAATATAGCAACCTTTCAAAGGGAATCAATAAAAAAGTGGTTCGAAGACCATAGGTTTGAGGCTGTAGAAAAAGCAACATACAATACCGATACACAGACGGAGGAGGTAAAGCCGGAAACGAGGGAAATGGGTACCCAAACAGAGACCTGGCACCAGAGAGCACAATCCTTAGAGACAATCACAGCTATGGAAACATACGAAGATTTCAAGAAGGTGGAGAACCTCGCTTGGGCAGATGAACTGTACACTAACTCAGCAGTGGTAGTAGGAAATCCGCTAACCGCAGAAGCAAAAACGGTCCGAGTGGTTCTAGTGGAACCAAAGGATTCGGAGATGCATCCAAAGGCTCTATAAAGACAAGTACCCTGAGTTAGCGGATCTAAATGGACAATTCGAGATCATCGAGCAAAGGACCTACATTAGAACTAAAACTCCGGTGGAGGAGACTATAAAAAAGATAATTAAAATAGTGCACAACGGTACACCGGAAAAAATTTGGGAAGCACTTAGGCTCCTGAAGTCTGAAACCAGTGATGATGAGAGGGTGGCAATTCATCACATCGTAGATTACCCCACCGACAAACTAAAAAAGATGGTTGAGGGAATCTTTCATGGATCTCGTACCATAGTGGACATATATACAATCGCAGGATACCACGCGGCCCTGGAGAAAACAGATAAAAGAGAGAGACCTACCTTCGGTATGATTGTGAGCGGGGGACGGTCATATAAGGACATATTAGGCAAAGTTAAGAACGCAGTTGGAGATAAAGCAGCAGGAGGAGCAATTCGGAGTCTCAAGAGTACAAGAGATGGTAGCCTGCTAATAGTAATGGACAAGGACCAAAAATCCCTAAACGAAATCAAGAAGGCGTTTAAAGATTCTCCGGAAGGTCTAAAAGCCAGACAAGTTGGTGAAGAAGGACTTTTCGAAACACTGCATGTCAGAGGAATGGAGGCAGAATGCACCAAGCAGGAACTACAACAGGCACTAACTGAGAAACTTGGAAAATGGGACGAAGACACTCATAAACTAAGTGACCTACGTCCAATGGTGAGTAACCAAATGGCGGCCACCGTGACCATTCCAACGAAATAAGCCAGTAAGCTCATGATCGACGGCTTTATAAGGGTGGGACTTGTGAGATGTAGACTTGAAAAACGATTAAGAGTCCCCAGATGTACCAAATGCTGGTCGTATGACCACAGAACAGACAATTGTACTGGACCAGAAAGACGTGAAAATTGCTACAGATGTGGTAAAGAGAGCCATAGTTCTAACGAATGTACAAATGAGGAGGCTTGTCCATTATGTGAAGAAACCGGGCACAGAGCAGGTACCTCACAATGCCTGGCATTTAAGGCTGCTCTGAAGAGAGTTAGAAATGCTGAGAGAAGGAAAAAACAAACACCGACCCCGACGGGCATATTGGGAGAGACACAGACAGATAGCCACCACGAGCTGGCCGAAGATACACATAAAGGAGAAGGTGATTTAGAACATAAAATCGAACAAATTGAAATGGACACGGACAACCTACACAAATCCAAGGAATCGTTAGAGTTAATCATCGCAAAGGCAGATGAGGCCGAGGCGATAGCCTTAGCTATACTAAATAGCGAAAAAAACCAAGACAATTAAACTTAACGAACCCTCTTCAAAGTCCTACAAGTCAATCTAGGCCGAGCAGTTAGAGCACACGACTTAGCATATGCTAAGGCGCTCGAACTAAAAACTGACATCATTATTGTTCCCGAACCAAACATTAATTTAACAAAGAGATCTGGGTGGATAGTAGATAAGAAGAAGGAAGTTGCGGTCTTCATAAAAAACAAGGACTGTGGGGTCACAAAAACAAAAACAAAAGATGGCTTTATAATAATAGAGCTAAAAAACACCACGATCATTTCATGCTACATATCACCTAATATTGGACTTGACGCATATAAGGCAAAGGTAGATGAAATTATGGAAAATGCGAGGGGAAAAAAGTTAGTGATCATTGCCGGAGATATAAACGCTAAATCTGTACAATCGGGATCACCAAGAAACGATGCAAGAGGACGCTATTGGGAGGAATGGCTATCAGAAATGGACATGACAGCTGTGAATACCGGCGAGCCCACTTTTGTTAGAGGTAACTCGCAATCCCATATAGATGTAACCATAGGAACGAGAGCAGCGGTCAAAAAAATTCATAACTGGAGAATATTAGATGAAGATATATTCACATACCACAAATATATTTACTACGAACTCTATACAACGAAAAAAACAAAATATGGCAGAACAATAAAAGAAATTAACACAGTGGTTCTGGAACAAGAAATGAACAACATACGGCAAGACGAATGCAGTAGCTTGGATGACATAGTCAAACAGCTACAAACCGCAACGCAGAAGGCAGAGACATGATAGCAAAATGGAATTTACACGGTACCCTATTGGTGGACTCACCAAATAGAAGAACTAAGGAAATCTTGTCTACAAGCAAGAAGGGAAATAACAAGGAGGAATCGACGTGGTATGGCGAATACATCATTAATAAATGAATATAAAGAAAAAAAGAATGGCTTAAATAAAGAAATCAGAAAAGCAAAAAGAACCTGTTGGAAAAACCTGTGTAGCGATTTTGAAAACGATGTGTGGGGGCAAGCATATAAGATCGTCATGAAAGACTTAAATATGGGGGCGCCATATAATCCTACGCCAGAAAGAAGAATGGACATAGCTAAGCAATTATTCCCACAAGAAGAAATCACCAACCACGAGAAAACGGAGGTAGAGGTACCGACGCAATTCACCCGAGAGGAACTAGATGGAGCAGCCAAAAAAATTAAAAACAAAAAAGCGCCAGGTCCGGACTTCATTACACCAAATACTATAAAACTGATGGTAAATATGAAACCTGATATATTGTTAAACATATTCAATACGATGTTAAATAGCCAAGAATTTCCAAACATTATCAAAAAAGCAAAGCTGGTGTTACTACAGAAGTCAGGCAAACCAGACGAAGAACCTTCCTCATATCGACCAATCTGTCTCCTGGATTTCATAGGCAAATTATATGAAGGAATGATTAAGCAAAGATTGGAACAAGAGCTAGACAGATTAAATGCTTTATCAGAATTTCAATTCGGCTTCAGGAAGGGAAAGAGCACAGTCCATGCGGTGGAATGGATAAAACAAAAGGCAAAAAATACTAAGAATCGGTGGGTAATATTAGTAACACTAGATGTAAAAAATTCATTCAATACCGCAAACTGGAATATCATAATAAGAAAGCTTCACAGCCTGGCAATTTCAGAATATCTGATAAATATAATCAAAGACTACCTACATGGACGGTTTCTAATAGTCAACAAAGGGGAAAACATGGAATTAAGCTGCGGTGTACCACAAGGATCTGTCCTGGGACCAATTTTGTGGAATCTCCTATATGACGATGTCCTTAGACTAAGAATGCCAACAGGGGTACGGACCGTAGCTTTCGCTGACGACCTGGTCGTATGTGCTGAAGGCAACAAACCAGAGATAATTAATGCAAACACCAACAGAGCCCTGGAAAATATTAGCAATTGGATGACTTTAAACAAACTAAAAAATGCTTTCAACTCGGCATCATGGAAACTGATCATTGATAGGCTTAGGGCACTTGATATATCGAAATACCTAATTGCCCTGGTGTATAGTTACTTCTCTTCCAGAAAAATAGTAATAGATGGAAATGTACTAGACATAACTCAAGGTGTACCACAAGGATCCATACTAGGACCCACATTATGGAACATACTCTTCAATCCTGTCCTAAATATAACAATACCGGAAGGGGGTTTCACTCCCGCTTACGCTGATGATTTAGCTCTGATAGTCACCGCAAAAGACAAACAAAACCTTATAGAAAACGGAAAAAAGGCCCTGGAGGAGATCAATTACTGTATAGAGGAAAATAAACTAAAACTGGCAGTTAATAAAACGGAAGCGGTGGTAATAAAGGGAAGGAGAGATATATCAGGGATATTTTTCAGCATAAGAGGATCAAGGATAGAAACTAAAAACTGTCTAAAATACCTAGGCATATGGATTGATAAGGGAGGAACCTTTAGAAACCACATCATCAAAACTGTGGAGAGAACATCGAAGCTAGTGAGTGCGTTAAGTAGGATACTGCAAAACGTAAATGGACCTGGAAACAGCAGAAGGAGGCTATATAGTAACGTTGCACTTTCCATATTACTATACGGTGCCGCAGTGTGAATAGAGGTGCTAAAAATAACAAAATATAGAGACATGTTGGTCAGAGCTCACAGGAAAATAGTACTCTGGACAATAATGGGATACAGAACTATCTCGACCGATGCTACTTATGTCATAGCAGGAATCATCCCCGTGGACTTGTTAGCGGAAGAGAGGGCGAGCGTAGCAAAACACGACACCAGCGAAGAAGAAAGAAAGAATGCAAGAGAACTGACTATGAGAAGATGGCAGGAAAGGTGGAATGCAAACGATACAAAAGGTCAATGGACAAAGAGGCTAATCCCGCGAATAGACAAATGGGTTGTCTGCAAACATAGGCATACGAACTACTTCATGACGCAGTTCTTAAGCGGACATGGATGCTACGGCTCTTTCACACATATGATAGGGAAAAAAGAAGACGACAGATGCTACTACTGTTATAATGTCGATACTGCAGAACATACTGTTTTCCAATGTCAGCGATGGCAAAATGAAAGAGAAGAGATGAAAGAAGATATAGGCGAAAGGCTAACAGCAGAGAATATAATAGAATACATAATAAACAAAAAAGAAAACTACGAAAACTTCTATAAATTCGTAAATAAAATAATGAGCGAAAAGGAGAGATGACATCGACGATTAACGACACATAAAAGAAAGGGTTTTTGGGGGCAAACGAAGGCTGTCATATCGATCTCACCGTCGGTCTCCAAAACCAGAAACCAAGCGAGAAGACTGGAGGGGTTTTAGTCGGAGTAGCGCCCGGCACTACCAAACACATCGAACCAGTGTTTGGTGTCATGCGATTTCCCCTCCTCCACAAAAAAAAGGTTACGTTAGGTTACGTTAGGTTAGGTTAGGTTAGGTTAGGTTAGGTTGGGTTAGGTTAGGTTAGGTTAGGTTAGGTTAGATTAGGTTAGGTTAGGTTAGGTTAGGTTAGGTTAGGTTAGGTTAGGTTAGGTTAGGTTAGGTTAGGTTAGGTTAGGTTAGGTTAGGTTAGGTTAGGTTAGGTTGGGTTAGGTTAGGTTAGGTTAGGTTAGGTTAGGTTAGGTTAGGTTAGGTTAGGTTAGGTTAGGTTAGGTTAGGTTAGGTTAGGTTAGGTTAGGTTAGGTCAGGTTAGGTTAGGTTAGGTTAGGTTAGGTTAGGTTAGGTTAGGTTAGGGTAGGTTAGGTTAGGGTAGGTTAGGTTAGGGTAGGTTAGGTTAGGTTAGGTTAGGTTAGGTTAGGTTAGGTTAGGTTAGGTTAGGTTAGGTTAGGTTAGGTTAGGTTAGGTTAGGTTAGGTTAGGTTAGGTTAGGTTAGGTTAGGTTAGGTTAGGTTAGGTTAGGTTAGGTTAGGTTAGGTTAGGTTAGGTTAGGTTAGGTTAGGTTAGGTTAGGTTAGGTTAGGTTAGGTTAGGTTAGGTTAGGTTAGGTTAGGTTAGGTTAGGTTAGGTTAGGTTAGGTTAGGTTAGGTTAGGTTAGGTTAGGTTAGGTTAGGTTAGGTTAGGTTAGGTTAGGTTAGGTTAGGTTAGGTTAGGTTAGGTTAGGTTAGGTTAGCTTAGGTTAGGTTAGGTTAGGTAAGCTTAGGTTAGGTTCCACTCGTAGGAGCTATAAGACCTTACCGTTGGTGGAGTGGTTCAGTAGCTCCGTTCTCAAGCCTTCACGGGACGGGAATGGGTAGTGAAGCCGACAAACAGCTCAAAATGGTCGGTGGGTCATTGGTGGGGTCACTGATGCCAAATAGGTGACATCAACAAATACCAGTTCAAGAACATCTGCCCAGCTAGCGAAAGCAAACCGGCAAGTGCGACCCTGAAATGGGAGGGCGCCATAAAATGGGGACCACGTTGGCCAAGGGAAGGAAAACCCCGACAGAAAACCAGGATGGAGCATACGAGCCGTAAAAAGCCGGAATACAAGGTGGAAACTATTGTGCCTAGGGATGCGTGGCCGCACGGACGCGGCTGCGAACTATGCCTATGGGAACCAGGCGAACTCACGGAGTACGAATCCTTAGCGGGGTATGGGAGCACTGCACCGCCGGATTTTTATTTTTGCCCGACTCGTGGGAACAAGAATGAGTTTAATAACAAAAAACAAAAAAACGACGGAAAAGGAGAATTATGATGTTAATGCTCCGTTGGTAAACCTGATGGATGAAGAAGTTCCGTTTAAAAGAAGGGATTCAATAGGCAGATCACCGACTAGGAAAAATCTGAGGTCTTCTCCACGCCAAAAGCAGAAGCTACGGGATTCATAGAAGAAGCTCTGGACGATAGTCCAATATACAAGCTCATTAAGGAACTTGGCATCACCATAATAGACTAGGAAAGCGAAGTTCTAGAAGACAGCGAAGATAGAAAAACCAAAAGGAGAAAGGAAGATGCAAAAAGAAAAAGGGTATAAACGCCTCCAAACGAAAGGACCTGCATTTAGGACCTTTCACAAAGATTTTAAGGGAACTTCAAAAGCAGGGCGATGCCCTATACAATCTAACAAAAGACGTAGTAAACACAAAAGTTGAAATAAAGGAAAACAAAAAAGCTATACACAGGTTAAACAAAAAGTGGAAAAGTGTTCAAGAACATTTAAGAGAAGAGAAAATCCATTTGGCCAAACAGTCCAAAATAGACCAAACGGTAGAAACACCTGTGGTCCAGAAAGAGTCACAGAGGATCGCAACCTAAGCCTGCGAAGAAGAAATAACAGAGGAAACGAGCGGTGCTGAACGTACAAAAATTATAACAAGCACTAGAAAAAACATAAAGGACGAGGAAGATCTAGCACAGATCCTAAAAGAGGATTGACCAAACGATGTCTACCAGCATACAAAGGTACTCGAAGGAAACCCACTGAACGCCTCGGACGACACTGGCATATATTGGGAAGACCCGGAAATGGAGTCGGAAACAACGAGAAGGTACAGGGAAAGATAACACGGACTTAAATGCATAGAAATGCAGGACACCACCTACGGCAAAATTGAAACGCTCATAAATGTTACTACCCTCCGGATACCAATTTAAAATAACAGAGAAATACGTTTTCAAGATGGCCCCAAAAGGGCCGGTAGACGACAAAAATATGGAGTTTAAACTACTCACTATATTGGACGAAGCAATGAAGACGGCGACGAAAGCCAACAGATAAAAGATTATGCTACCAACACCAGAAGGTCTAACTGAAGACAGAGTTAGAAAAATTATGGAGATAGTGGCCATGAAAGTCGGTATAGGGGCAGAACTATACGTACCAAAAAGACAGGCAGAAAAGAAACCACAACACCCCAAAAGCGATACAGGCATAGTAGTCGTCAAACCAGGAGCCAACAAATCTTACGCTGACTTATTGAAAGAAGTAAAGCGAGAGGTCTCAAACTCTACCTTCCCGTTACAGGTACAAAGATTGCGACAGACTCGCGAGGGAGGACTAGTCCTGGAAATAAAGGGGGGGCAAAGAGGAAGCTACGAAACTCAAGGGCCTTATTACTAAGCAGAATAGGAGCCGGAAGCCAGAATAGGAGGCAGCGCAAAAATTCTGAACATCAATGGAATAGATGCAGTGACAGAAAAGGAGGAAGTAGTCATAAAAGACCAAATAGGAGAATTAAATGCGATAGACGACAGCATAATGGTTAAATCATTACGATCTACTATGAGGGGGAACCAGATTGTCGATGCTGACGAAGAGTTAGCAGAAAAACTATTAAGCGAGGGAAGACTGCGGCTCGGGTGGCTTAACTGCCCTATAAGGGATAGAGTGGAAATACCACGTTGCTACAAGTACCAACAGTTCGGCCACTTAAGGGAGGAGTGTAAAGGCGAAGACCGTGAAGGGGACTGTCTGAGATGTGGACAAAAATGAAATCGAGCAAAGGACTGCAAGGACGACGCACTTGAATACTGCCACAATGAACAACGCCCAAAACAAAACAAATAAAGGTCCCCAAACCTCAATAGGTGCATTGCCTCCCACGATGTAGCGAACGCGACGGCCGCAGAAATAGGAATAGATGTACTGGTAGTTGGAGAGCCAAATAAAGCAGTAGTTAAGAGCAACAGGTGGATAAAAGACGTCAGAACAGATGTAGCCGTGTTATTCCTCAATAGGAAAATCGAGGCGAAAGTGACAAAGATATGAGAAGGTTACGTCGTCATAAAGATGCACAACTATAGCCTACTATGCTGTTACATATCCCCGAATATAAGCGTACAGGATTATAATAATACTATTGATAAAATTATAGAACAGGGTCAGGCAACCGGGAGGCGAGTTCATAATGATGGGGGACGTAAACGCTAAGTCGCTGCAATGGGGATCCCCGACCACAGATCCGAGGGGGGAGTACCTCACTGACTACATTGCAATGCTAGATATGATAGTGCAGAACACGGAAGAAAGCAACCTTCGTCAGAAGAGATACAAACTCGTTTATCGACGTAACATGTACCACGAAAAAAAATTCAAAGAGCATCAAAAACTGGATGGTCATGGACGATATAGAATGCTTGACCGAACACCAGTACATCTACTTTGAGATACAAAACGGAACGACGCGCAGTGCACCGGCGGAAAAAAACCAAAGTTTTTGTAAATTGGGAATGGTAGAATGGGGAGCAGCAGATAGTGGAGAGGAATCAGACAACTGCGAAACAATAATAAAAAAGGCTTACGAGGCGAGCATCAAAAGAAAAAACACGAGAGCGAAAAAGATGCCATACTGGTGGACGTTGGAGATAAAGGAGAAACGAAGAGATTGTATATCTTTAAGAAGACGGGAACAAGGGCAAGAAAAAACATAGAAGCTAGAACCGAAACAATAGAGTCGGAGCAGAAGAAGGCGAAACAGGAGCTAAAAAAGCTCATTAAAACCTCTAAAAGAGCCCGTTGGCAAGAACTCTGTGACAAACTAGAAGACGATATATGGATCAAAGGATATAGCATCGTCACCGGTGGATTGCAAATAACGCCTGTAGAGCTAAGTGAGTCGGAGAAAGTGGAAATAGCCATGGAATTGTTTCCGAGAAGAGATACAGCAAACCTATACCAAGGTTTATTGTAAATAAAATTAATTGAGCTAATCTTCCTTATCTCAAGTGAGAAGAGCTGCATTACAACCCCAAATCTTGGGGATACGTAGCAGTGGGAGAGAAATGATGAGATCTGTAATGAGCGTTGGGAAACGAACGCATACTTGTCAACAAGGATAGGGAAGGGCAACCCCACGACCATAGGAGGGGAAAATCTGGACGTAGCCCTTCTTTTCGACGCAGAAAAGGGACCAGAATGTATAAACATCGCTGGCCAAAGGTACATTAAAGATGTAATTGACCTAGGGAAAATTAAAAAGGGGATGATGGCCACCCTACAGAATACTAGGAGGCTTGAAATCCATGACGAAATTCTTACAAAAAGGACAGGGAGGGCAAACCTCTTGGCTGGGCTAGCCACATCAAATGAAGAAAACTTTAACTCCTTATGGAAATAAAGAACAGAATGGAACAGACCGAATTCAAAAAATTGGTGATGGTCACCGACCGAAAGGCTATAACGGAAAAGTTCCGGAAAATGGTGGAATGTGTCTTCTGGGGGAGAATCAAAGGGGTCATCGTGTACGATATGGACACGGGATTAGCGAATGAAGGAGAAAAATGGACTGAAACCCTGAAAAAGCATAAAAGCAAAACTCTCCCAGCTCTAGTAATTAAGGACAGCGCTACTATATACGAAGATATGATCAGAAAGCTGAAAACGAATATTACAGGAAATGTTACCGAAGACATTAAAATTATCGAAAAGACGAGATCGGGGATCTGCTCCTCGAAATGGAAAACGAAGACGGTCTTCAAGTCCTAAAAGAGGAATTGAAGAAGCATGTAGAAGAAGCTGAAATAAAAAGCCTAAAAGGAAACAGTGCTGCGGTCCACGTCTATGATGTGGATGCGGTGACCACGACGGAGGAACTAGTCGCTGTAGTGGAAAGCGTAACAGGACCTGGTACCATTACTACCATGAGATTGATGGCAGGGAACAGACAGGTGGCAACCCTAGAGAGCACCGAGGAAAGTATAGAGAAACTTTTAAGACTGAAAAACATTAGGATCGGATGGTCCTCCTCTGGGATTCAAAAAAGGGTACCGATTAACAGGTGTTTCAACTGTGGTAGTATAAATCACATGGATAAGGACTGCAAAGAAAAATCTATGGGGGACAAGTGTGGACGATGCGGAGGAGAAGGCAACAAGGTAGCGGACTGTAGAGAGGTGACAGAATACTGCTGGACATGCAAGAAAGAGGGACACAGAAACGCCAGTTTTAAATGCCCTGCTTTTAAAGAGGCGATTCAAAAGGGTTCAAGGAGCGGGGGAACGGCGAGCGCGGCTGGTGCCACATATGCTTCGCTGAATTAAATAAAAGAAACATAAGAGTGATGCAGGCCAACCTGAAAAGGGCAAGGGGAGCTATCGACCTAATTCACACAACAGCGGCAGAACTTGAAGCAGATGTACTAGTGGTTAGTGAACCAAACAAAAAACGAGTAACAAACTCGTCGAAATGGATAACAGACAAAGATAAAGACGCAGCAGTTTATCTTAGAAATAGCAAAATTTCTGTCAAGATTTCCCTAAAAAAAGGTTAACTAGGCCTCCAGTTGGAGGGATTCACTATGGTGGAAGGATTATATATCTCCAAATGCCGACATGGACACATTCACCGAAAAAAATAGATGGGATGGTAGACTTTTGTATTAGCACAGGAGGAAAATTCATCATATTGGGTGACCTTAACGTTAAATCCCCATAATGGCGATCCCCAATTGAGGACGCAAGAGGCGAATATCTAACAGAGGAAATTGCGGCACGGGACTTAATGGTACACAACACCGGGAGAAAGCCCACTTTTATTAGGGGGGATCAGTCATCATTTATAGATGTGACGTTATCATCGAGGAAAGTCGGGAGAAAAATACAGAACTGGACAGTATTAGAAATGGAGAACCTAAGCAACTATCAGTACAGTTGCTTCGATATAAATGAAAAAGTGACAGTTAAAAGGACCAGGCAGTATAAAACGATTGATTGGGATGCGTTCAGGGCAGTAATTAAAATAAGAGCCACCGCCGAAAAAATGGACCCGGAAGAAGCCACCAAGTTAGTCGAAAGGTCCTACAAGGACTGCGTGAGATCAAATACCCCTTATGGTGGAACAGCGAGATTGACGAGAAACGCAAGGAAGCAACGAGGATCAGAAGGACCATCCAGAGGAAAATTACGGGCTATACGGATGAAGAAAGGTTACAAGCTAGAGAGAGGTTTAGAACTTGTAAGAAGGAGCTAAGGAATCTGATAAAAAACTCCAGAAACAGTACTGTGTGGAATTATGCGTAGAGCTCAACGACCATATATGGGGAGACGGCTACAAAATAGTAACGGGTCGACTGGGGATACAGTAACCGGCAGAACTGTCAAAGACACAAAAAAAGAAATAGCCAGACATCTTTTCCCACGAACAACTAAGACGAAACGCAGCACGAGACCCATTGCCGTAGTAACCACTTTTTCGGTCGAGGAATTGAAAGTAGTCCTGGAAAAAGCCAAAAGTAGGAAAGCACTTGGCCCCGATGGAATACCCATGGAAGCCATTAACGAAGTCGGGAAAATAACACCGTCATTACTACTCAGTATATACAACCAGCTGATAGAGAACCAGGAGTTTCTAAGAGAGTGAAAAGAGGCTAGACTGGTTCCTATTCCGAAACCTGGAAAACAAGTAGGCCTGCCATCATCTTACAGACCGATATGTCTACTGAACGCAATAAGTAAAATTTACGAAGGGTTGATCAGAAGTATAGTAGACAAGGAGGTCGACAGAAACGGTGGACGCGGTCGAGGAGGTCAAAAAAGTGGCAAAAGTAGCGGAAGGGTGTAAATGGCTAGCGCTGATCACGCTAGATATAAGAAATGCCTTTAACACGGCGGCATGGGACAGGGTCCTAAGAGTATTAGGAAGAAGGGGCCTACCGGATTACCTCCAAAACGTGCTGTCTGACTACCTCAATGAAAGGGAGATAGTGGTGGACCAGATACCGATAGAAGTGAACGCCGGAGTACCACAGAAATCGGCCTTAGAATATTCTTTACGATGGGGTCCTGAGATTAGAACTCGGGGAAGGGATAAATACAATAGGTTTCTCCGATAACCTAGCAGTTTTGGTTAGGGGTAATGATATGGAGGATCTAAAACATAGAGCTGAGATAGCGCTCCACAAAATAACGAGCTGGATGGATAGGACCAAACTAGAGCTGACACCGCAGAAAACGGAACTGGTAATACTAGGGGACCATAGAAAAATCGGACAGAGAAAGGCCACGGATAATGTTCAAGAGAACTATATTAGAGCCTTGGAATAGTCATTAGCGACATCCTAACCTTTTGCAAACATATAGAGATTTTTAGGAGAAAATGCCTCGGAAAACAAATAAAACAAGTCAAATTACTAAACTTAACAAACAGTGAGAGTGAATTACCGTACATAATAATCCCAGAAAATAATGTAAGAGTCCTAATTGATACTGCCAGTACAAAATCCTTTGTTGTGCCAGAAATTTCTAACAAATATTTTAAAACATCCTTTATACGCAAACCATTCCAAGTTTCTACTGCTTTAGGAACGAAACGAAAATTATTGCAAAAATTGACCTAATAAACGACTTATTAATTAGCCCTTACAGTCAAATCAAAATAAATTATTTTAAGATAAATAGTGAGTGTACGAATTGTATAGTAGTATTGTATTTCCATTCATTCCATTCAGTTTAGAATCTGTTCTTGATATGAAAAGTTGTACTTTAAATTAAATAAATCTTTTTAAAAAACTAAATACCGAGTGTACTTAGTTAAGTTGCATGTACTGTGAACAGACTGACACACCAGCTCATACCATCTTCCAGTGTCTAAGATGGGAAACGGCTAGATAAGAGGCGTGGATGGCACTGGACATGGTCCCAGACATAGACAGCCTGATCGACATAATGACCAGTAGATCAGACAAATGGGAAGTACTACGGAGACTGGCGAAGGAAGTAATGAGTGTAAAGGAACAAGAGAAAAGAAGTAGACAGGCTCAGAGATAAGGACTAAGAACACTAACACCCAGAAAAATGTCTGAAAGGATGATGCCAGGGTGTTAGGGAAAAGGGGTGAGGTATGGTGAGGTAGGCAGGTGTCTGCACTACTCTAGTAAGAGCTAGAGACCCTGAGTCCCATATTCCCAGCCGCGATAGACTAGGAAAGCCATGAGGTCCCTCATCCAAAAAAAGGTTAGGTTAGGTACCTAAAGTTTAAAACATCTACCTATTTTATTTATTTATTTGTATATATATATATTCTTGGATCCTCCTCATATGCTAAAATTTATCAGAAACTGTTTGGGAAATAAGGGCATTTTGATAAATGAAGCTGAAGATGAAATATGGCAATATTTTGAACGTTAAGTAAATCTTCAGAATGTAGAAGGGTTACATGCAGGAAATAAAATAAGAAATAGACATTTACTCTGGACGATAGAAAAAATGAAGGTCAAACTTGCTGCACAAACCCTGAGAATAGTGTATCAGATTCTCTCATGTATTTATGCGAATAACTTAAACTAAAAGCTTTTCAAGGTGCTAAAGAAACAGCACATTTTTGATAATCTTTTTGATATATTGAATTCTAGATTATGGACGTCAAAATATAAATATAAGGAACCGCTTTCTTCAATTAATTTTGAGGAAACAAATGAATTTCTTGAAACGTGCGAACATTATATTTTGGCATTAAAATTAGGCGAAAATCTGATCATTGATACCAAAAATAAAACTGGATTTTTAGGATTTTTGATTTGTATTGAAAGTTTAATTTGTCTATATAAAAAGTACGTTAATATAGAAAGGCCCCTCTTAAAATATTTTTGTTCAAAAACTATTTGGTAGACTGTATTTTTGGCTAGTAAATCAGCAAGACAGTTACCTTTCCTGTGGCGTGACCTTTGATCCTTCTTAAGGTGACTACATTGTTGATAGATATTTCGACCAAAGCTTCGCGATATTCTAGTACTAACCCTAAGTAAATTTGTGATCTATCTTTGGTGAGTAGTGCTTGTCTGCTATCTAAACTACGCCGCAGATGAAGTTGGACAGCCAAAAAATTGCCTAATTTTGACTAGCTGTAACTTGGACATTTCTTTGCCGATGTTAGATTTTCAGCCAGAGGTGGAAAGCGCCATCCTTGCTGTTTGCGTCAGTGGCATTGAATATATTTTTTTAATAGCTTCTTGTTGTACAGGGTGTGTATGTAAGGCAGCGAAAAATGTCCGTTTTTTGCCAAAGAATTTGGAAAATGTGGGGGGCCAAATCAAGTTCTTTCTGATGTTGAGTGGATCACTAGGTCGACACCTCGGGATGTCTTTGCCATTTTTTTGATACTTTGCGTTGCTATGGAAATATCGCCATTTTATGAAATTCGTAGGTGGAGAGACTGTCTTTTCGTTGATGAAAGCCGTTTCAACCTCTACAATTCCAACGGCCGATTGCTATCTTGGCGGAGACGGGGAGAACGTTATTTAGCAGAAAATATGCGTCCCCAAGTTGCATTTGGCGGTGGTGGATTGACGGTTTGGGGCGGTATTCAACACAACGGAAGGACAGAACTCGTGGTATTTCGGGGTAATGTAAACGGCGAGGTTTACCTGAATGAATGTCTGATTCCGCTAGTTCTCCCGCATGCTCGAAATTATGGCGAGGATTTTGTTCTTGTGGACGATAATGCTCGTCCTCATCGAGCATTATTAGTAAACAGATATATACAAGAGCAAAACCTTAATCGTACTGAATTGCCTCCTAGATCTCCAGACTTGAATCCTATTGAGCACGTCTGGAGCTGGATGAAGTTGAAGTTTTCCCGAAGGGAACGTCAGCCAGAAACTCTAGACGATCTCGAGGATGATTTTAGAGCTCTGGGAGGCAGTTCCTATGGAGATAACTAATAACTTAATTTCGAGCATGCCAAGGTGGTGTCAGGCAGTTATTCAGGTTAGAGGAGGTCCAACGCCTTACTAATTAATAATTAACAAATATTTATTAAGGTTAGGTTTATTTTAATATTCTAATGAATTCCATGTACACACATTATAAAATAAAAGCCAATAAAAAAAACTGAACCCTTTTTGTACGCCTCTGAATTAGTCAAAATCAAACTCATTACAGTTATGACACCTTTTAAACTGTAACGCTTACCAAAAGTGTTAAAAATTTCAAATAAAATCAAGTTTTCGTTTTTTAAATTTCATAAACCCCTTTTTGCACGCCGCTGGTGTTGACCATTTTCTTTACACGTTATTCCTTGATGCAGTTTAGTCGGTATCTGTTATTCTTTAATTAAAAAAAGGCTAATTCTAAAAGAAATATGGAATTTCATAAAATGGCGATATTTCCATAGCAACGCAAAGTATCAAAGAAATGGCAAAGACATCCCGAGATGTCGACCTAGTGATCCACTCAACATCAGAAAGAACTTGATTTGGCCCCCCACATTTTCCAAATTCTTTGCCAAAAAACGGACATTTTTCGCTGTCTTACATTCACACCCTGTACAACAAGAAGCTATTAAAAAAATATATTCAATGCCATTGACGCAAACAGCAAGGATGGCGCTTTCCACCTCTGGCTGAAAATCTAACATCGGCAAAGAAATGGTCAAAATTAGGCAATTTTTTGGCTGTCCCACTTCATCTGTGGCGTAGTTTATATAGATAGGCATGTTTCATTCAGTGATATTTCTTTTGCTGCTATGAGAATCCCCTTGAGCTCGGTTTGAACTACACTGGCACTACTGCTCACAGCCCATTTTATGTTTAGGTTTTAGGGTCTGAAGTATAAACCACATCTAAGCCTTGTTTTGTTTCAGAACCATCGGTGTAGATATGAATCGTACCTGCCAGTTCCGGCTCTTCTATGTGTTTCGTTATAACTTTATATGGCTTATAGATATATCTTGGTGAGATGGAGTCCATGTTCGCTTGAAGCAGTAGGAGTTTATCAAGCACCTCCTGTATTATTATAACGTCTACTTTACTATACATTGTGGAACAGACAAATGGAATAAATTAGATAGTAAATAAATGGGGACGTGTTCGGAAAACGCTTGTACACGTTTTTTGGTATTTTTAGTTAAGGATTTTTTAAATAAAAACACCTTGTATATTTTTCAAATTTTAGATTTTTTAGAAAATTCTAGACATTTTATATTCTATGTCCTATATCCTATTTCTAACTGTTTTGAAAATATTAAATATTTTTCGATTTATTGCATAAATTAACATTAACAAAATAAAATTGTTTGATTACAGAAATTCGCTACAATACACTCAATACTTACTTCCGATTTAGGTCTTGATAATGAGAAAGTAAGCAGAAACCATTTCAGCGTTCTTTTTTACTGATATAAAATTAAAAAAGCTATACTTAACTAGTTTTGTTCACTTTTGTTTAAAACGCCTGACCTTAGCAAATTGTTATCTGACAAAATAACAATTCTACAGACGATGAAAAAATCAAGGGACAATTAGTAAAATAGAGAAATAGTTTCACGAGCTTGGAAATGTAAGGTAAATACAATGCAATAATTAATGATACCAAATTGGATATTATGCTTGAGTTTCAGGAAAATCCACATACTTCTAGTCGACAAGCAGCCCAATGTTCGATAATAGCCATTCATCGATTATTCGAATATTAAAAGAAAATAAAATGCATCTATATAAAATAATAGCAACTCAGGAAGACGATTTTGTGAACAAATGATGGCAATGTTAGATAATATGGTGATCGAATTAGAACATGTTTTGTTTTCAGATTGGTGTACCTTTACATTTCACGGTCATGCTAATCGTCAAAATTGCCGCTATTGGTCTAGGGAAAATCATCACTGGATGAGAAAAGAACATCTGTAATACTATGAAAAGGTTAATTTTTGGGTAGGAATTGTTGGCGATCATATCATAGGTCCCTCTTTTATTAATGGAAATTTAAATGGCGATAATTATTTTGCACTGCTCCGAAATAATGTCGTGCCAACTTTAACGAACAGAGCCGTCGAGAGAGGGAGGGACAGCTGGGATTAATTCCTGAGGGCCGGGCTCAAGAGAGGACCCGGCAGCAGCATAGGGGCCCATCAGCTTTAGGTGATGACGTTTTTTATTTTTTTTTTTGCCACAAGAGCACAAAGAAAAGAAATGTAATATTGAAAAGGCTTAATTTTTTTATAAAATGGTCGCGGGGCCCGACTTGGAAAATTGTCGCGGGACCCGGCCTGGAAAATTGTCCCGGGGCCCGACCTGACTCTCGGCGGCCCTGTTAACTCTCGGCGGCCCTGTTAACGAACTTATATCCCGATCCAGCAAACCCACAAGTTCCAGCAAATTTGATATGGTTTCAGCAAGATGGAGCACCGCCCAATTACCAAATCAATGTCCAGCAGTACCTCAATCGAGTATTTCTAAATCGGTGGATAGTTAAATGGCCCAGCACGATCCTCCAATCTGACATCATTAGACTTTTTCTTATTTGGATATGTCAAAAGTATTGTATACAAAATTAAACCTCTCGACCTAGAAGACGAATGTTGAATAACGTTGGAAGACATTTTTATTTTAGAATAGGATGTTGCCAAGAGGTTCGCGGCGAGCATTTTAAAAATATTCTACATTGAGATGTGTTTTTTCTTACATTATCAAGAAACAAACAGTATTACTTAATAGTATGTTAATTTTTGCAATAAATCGGAAAATATTTAATATTCCCGAAACAGTTAGGTGTAGGAAATAGTACATAAAATATGTCTAGAATTTTTTGAGGAATCTAAAAATTGAAAAAACTACAGGCTGTTGCATTTAAAATAACAAAGTTGGTATTGGGCACTGTTACATATAATATATAAAAAGTTTTTGTTAAAAAAAATTGCGCAACTAAAAATACCAATCGACGTGCCCGAGCGTTTTTCCGAACACGCCCTCATTTATTTATTACCGAATTTATTTAATTTGTCTGTTCCACAATATATAGACTTTCCAGGTAATGAATTTATTCCGTGATATCTAAAAAAACAATTATAGGTAGTACAGTTATACTGATAGTAAGCAGGCAGGGGCTGTCCCCAGGGAGGAGTTCTATCACTTGTCCTTTGGTCAGTCCTAGTAAACGAAATTATTAAAAGGCTAATACCTGCGATCGTCGTTAAAGGCAAGTTTGCAAAATATATCTAAAAAGGACGAGGTGGCGGAGGCCCACAGCCCTAATTAAATCTAATATATGCTGGTAGTAAAAAAATAGACAATTTCAAGAACTTAAAAATCTTTAATAAGGAATTAAATCAAATACACATTAATCCTTAAAAATATATTTAAATAAAAATATATACATTAACATATCAATTATGCACTTATTTCTTTTCTCTTTTCTTTTGCAAGTTCTACTAGGACTCTGTTTGGAATATCTGGAATGGCATATGCTAAAATGCCCTTTATGACCATTAAGATATGCTAAAAAATAGAATATTGTTTAAACATGCATCATATATCTACAAATTAAGTCAAATATATCTGCTCGAAGCTATACGAATTTCTTAAATACTATATGGTGCTCCAAACCCGCTGAACAGTTATCAAGGTCAATCTTTTTTTTTTTTAATTGAACCACTATATTTATAAGCAATGTTAATTTACAATTAGGCATTCCAAACTGAATGGCTACCAGTGGGTTTTGACAGGTTATGATATGGTTATGATATGACAAAATTATGGCAACCCTGTAGGCCTGGTGATTTGACAAGGTCAATGAAATAGATAGTTACATAGATTGATCATCCATATTTTTCAAAATAAACACAAGCTTATGCCTTGAAGTAAAAATGTAAGCAATTATTTTTTAAATATCTAAAGGCTGAAAATTGGTATTAAAACACATTTTTGCTAAACCGATTCAAATTAATAAATATTTGCCAGACAATATGGCCGCTCGCAAACGACTAGCTTTAAGCAATCTATGTAACTATATATGTATCTGTATCACTGATCTGTATTATTTTACTGGATAGGATATAGCCCCCTAAAAAACGTTCCGAAAAATTGACCGATTTGGGCAAATATTAGAGAGTTCACATAAGGTCAGTCACTATTAGTGCCGCTCTTATTTTGACAACTGAGCATGCGCAGATCACTAACTTTAATAAAGATTGTGCCTGTCCTTAATAGAGAGATATTGCAAATTTATATAAAGCCAGCCACTAAACTTTAAATTATAGTTCATCATTTTTGTTGTCTATAATATTAAAGAGGCATTAGAAATTATAATTTTAGAAGGTTTAAATGATGATTATATTAAATATTTAATATTAAAAAACTTCTAACGGATACGCATGTCGGCGAGCGCATCCGAAAACTATAACGTTGCCACTACCTGCTGCCCTTAAACATCCACAATTAAGGACAGGCACAATCCTTAATAAAGTCAGATTTAGAACATAAACATCTACGCATGCTTAGATGTCAAAATAAGAGCGGCACTAATAGTGACTGACCTTAAGTCACATACTTTGATTACTATTCGCGATTCAAGATAAGTGATACGCCCTCTGGAGGAAATTAGTAAAAGGTCCCTATAAGTAGGATGACGTTCAGTGTTGCCAGAAGCAGCAAAATTTCGTTACGTCGTCGAATTTTAGTTTTTAAAGAAATGGATAAGACCTTTTATTTAAGAATCAAAATTTGTGTCTAGTAATATGTAATCATACTATTTATTTAAGGATTTTTTTATAAAATTGATTTATTATATTGATTTTTTTTAAATATCAGTTCATTTATTAATTTTAGTTTTAAAATCAGTCAAGAGACAAAATCAGTTCATCATTTGGCAACATTGGCGTTCGTGTTCATTGTTTACATTTTAATTTGTATCAATTACAATTAGAGTTTTTTGTTACTTTTTAGCTTTAAATTTGTTTATTTCTTATAGTATGTGATAGTATTTAAATTAAAAATGAAATCTGCGAAAAAGCCTCCAGCAAATTGCAATCTGTATGGTGTTATTGTCAAAATCAAAACTGGAGTATTCATTATTTTTCAAGTGCAAGTCATAAAATTCTGTTTCTTACGATAAATGGGTATCTACAAATTCACAATATTGAAATTTTGCAAAACGTTGTTTAGAATCAAACTCCAATATGAGTTGTGACGGTTTTATTACCATTTACATGTATACAAAGTACTACACAATTCACTTTATGATATAAGAATAAGGATAGTAAGATTTTTAAAGAAGTTCATCAATAATAAATGTTTGGTACCTGATATGTCCTTTAAACCACATAATAAAACATGTCCTGGGTTTAGTAAATACATATTTCTAGATGTTCTTGTAGCAACCAATAGGTCAATATTTCCAACAAATTAGTTCGTACTACACATGAAAAATTACATTTATAACGAAAGCATGAAAACTAAACTTAAATTAACACTAAATGAAACTCAAAAACACTATTATAATAAGAATATTATCTAAAAACAGTTAAAAAATCACAAATACAAAATCCCACAACACGTAAACAAACATCCTACTTATTACGTGACAAATGACAGGCGCGCGAAAATTAATTTGAATCGCGAATATGAGGCAAGAGAGAGGTCCGACACGCCCAACATAGGGCGCGGCCATTTTGAACCCTGTGACACAGTTTACAGCTAAAGAATCAGATCGCTCACTCTGCGTCGGCACTTTTGATCTCAATGTTTCAGTTTATACACTGTGCAACTCGGATAATACAATATATGACAACTGCCTGTAATAAAACAGCAGTCTTCTGCGTATCCTGAATTTGTATCTCTGGAGTGGATGTTATTTTGGAACTTTCAACTGGTCCGAGTGAGCTAACTGATTCTTTAGCAATAAACTGTGACTTCAAAAATAATATTCACTGACACTGACAGCAGCAAGCAAAATATCAGGTCTGTAAATTGAATTGAATTGAATTGAATTTGTTTTAATCATCCGCTTCTGCTTCCGGAATTGTCGGTTTAGTCGTTTTAACCTGTCAGATTAAAACAAGAAAACCGACAATTCCGAAGCAGAAGCGGATGATTAAAACGTACCTATTAAAAATATTGCAACACGTAATAAGGGTTCAAAATGGCAGAGTTTTCTATCTCCTTTTAAAAGGCACTCAGAAAGCTGCGCAGTGCGACCATTCTCCGTATAGTAAAATAAAATCAAAGTATGTGCCTTAAGTGAACTTGCAATAACTTTCTTATTAAGAACAGGCACAATCTTTATTAAAGTTAATGATCTGCGCATGCTCAGATGACAAAATAAGAGCGGCACTAATAGTGACTGACCTTAAGTGAACTTGCAATAACTCTCTAATATGGCGGACCGGATGTTATTTAAAGTAACCTCTATTTCCATTTGTCATCACATTTGTCATTTAATTGTGTCAACAAGCTAAGATGAGATGTTTTTATTGTGGAAAACAAAGTAAAAAGAGTACGAAATAAACAATAAACGTGCATTCCTGAAGACCCAATATGCTTTAAGTTTCCATTTTTATATTTTCTTTCATAAAAAATCAAAACATGGGTGAATTTTCCCGAAGGACATCGCCCGCAAAAGGAATAGAAGAAGAATAAGAAAAACTAATCAAATTATAGGTTAGGTATGTCAAAGTATCCCAAATTTCAGTTCTGTGAACCCACCATAATTTGCCCAAATCGGCCAGCATTATTGTACTTCCGGTCTACTTGGTAGAACGGTTTTTTAGTATGTTAAATATAGCCTATATCCTATCCAGTAAAATAATACAGATCAGTAATCTGTATCATTGACTCTGTTAATGACAACATGACACAAGGTTGCCATATCTAAACTGTCAGTCCCCATTTGGACAGGTCGTTGGAATGCCTAATAGGTCTGTTCCAACAACGATCATTGACACCAGGATTGTGAGCAATATGAATTTGACGGTTTAAATAATCTATTGCGCAGAATCCTGGTGTCAATAACTGGTTTCGGATCGTTGTTGGAACCAATGAACTGAAGTGAGGTAGAATGCTTGCCAATAGGCTTGAGATGCGACTCTATGGGCGAAGACCGAAGACAGGTTGTTTTTCATCTCACTCGGGAGTATTAAATTATTAACTATTTTCTATTTCACATTGTTATTGTCTGATTCACCAGCTTGTGGATTGGACAATAACAATGTGAAACAGAAAATGGTTATTATAAATACTCCCGAATGTTATTTATAATTTTAAAATCTATAATTTGATAATTTTGCTATATTTATTTTTTTTCTCTCATCAAATAATAAATTGTGAAAACCTAACCCTACATTTGAAAACATTAATTTTGTTGCAAGATGAATCTACCTGGATACCATTCTCCTATCATTATGTTATTATTATCATTATTTAACTATACAGGGTGTTTTAAAAAGCGTGTGTCATCACTTCTGGTGTGATTCCTTACTCAAAAATAAGACAAATAGTTCTTATCAACATAAGTCCGCAGATATTTTGTTTCAAAAATACAAGGTGTTACAATTTTTTAATTTATTAATTTTTTCAATTTATTTCCGATACATCTTTTAAGTGTAAATTTTGGTTGTACAATTTACCCAAAAAGAAATTATTTCTACAATAAATAGATGTAAAAAGATTTAACATAGATGAGCGTGTGAAAGAGCGCTATAAAAATGTTTAACAAAAAAAGAAGAAGAAGAAACATAAAGAAGGCTTGTGAAACAGAAAGATGGGGTTTCTGTTATTTTAAAAATTTAAAGCTGTAATCGTCCCCAAAGTTTTATTAAATTTTGACTGCACCAGAAGATGGAAAAACATTTTCCGAAACATATGTAGTGCTTGTACTTAAATGATAGAAAATAAAAACGATATAAATCAAGAAAATTTTTATTTATATAAAATTCGGCTATGGTCTGAAAATTATCCTTATTCAAATAAACCAATACTCTTCACAGACTACTATGTGAAGAGTATAATAAGGGATTTAGATAGGGTTGAAATTTTAAATTTTTTATTGGCAAAGTTAAGTACTAGAGGATTCAGTAAAATTTCTGGTGTTTGGGGGTAGCGTGCTCATCAGCGTCGGTGTTTAAACCTCGTAATTAGAAATAGGTCGACGTTAAATACAATATTAAAAAAAAACATATTTACCTCAAAAATAACAACAACTGAAAATCGCAATCCCAACATGAACCAATAATCCGTGGTCACTTGATATTTACGGGGATGATCTGGTGGATATCTGCGACCTGGATAGTAACACCACTCCTGAACTTGTTTTGTCTCAAAAAAGACAAAATCTCTTATATCAAAAGCTAAAAAAGATATTATTAATGACCAAGAAAGGTGAGAATATTGGTTATAGATTCATAAAACTAATTTTTGGAAATGTGAAAATATAAATCCCAATTTCCTTACGAAATTAAGGAATTTAACCCCACATCCCCAACGTGAACACAAACTAAAGAAAAATTTAAAAAGCTAAAAAATAAAGAAAATAATTAATGAACCGGCCAAGGAGCGAACCTGAATCTTCCGAGTATAGCCCTCGATGACATTATTAATTAGACTACCTAGTCCAAGAGCTGATGATGAAGAATTTGGGCAAGGTATTTTAGGCAATTTGAAATGATAAAAAACAGTACTTATCAATGTTAGTAAATCTAGAGTCAGAAGCATGTGACATTAGCAAAAATTTATCTAAAAAAAATATCCTTTAGACACCTTGAATTTATTTTATTTTTTTATTTTAGCATTTATAGAATCTATAAATAAAAATTCCAGAAAATTTCGACGATTTTGAAGTATATGACCAGACTGCCCCGAATTTGTTTTATTAATTTACGACAAAAATATACTTTACTTTAATATTGCAAATATTTTTGTCAAAAAGTCTGACGAATACGACGGTTTCAAATAACTACCTGCTACTGAGGTTGCTATAGTCTGGAGAAGAAAGGAGTACAGTAATTTAATTTGAATAACGTAGTACAGGTTCAAGAGGTAGACATTTTATTTATACTCCATCCTTCAATGCTTATTTGTAGTTAAAATAAAAATTTTAATACATCTGATCGGCATAATAAAAGTTTTCTTTAAGATTTAATAATGTTTCCATGGTTTTTACTGTAATAAACCTTTTGACAGATTTATTCATAGCTATATCTATTTTAATTGATTCAAAATGTTTTATTAGTATATATTATATTTTATATTTTTATAGGAATGGCGAGTGCATTAGAAAATAATGCAAGCACAAATACGCGTAAACGTCTTAGTGGACATAAAGCATTATCTTTAAAAGAAAAAAAATATTGTTTTTAGAGTCGATCTTTTCACCTCTGAGTAAAGTTACATGTAGGTTCACTTAACAGATTAATAAACAATAGCCCTATAAGTTAATCAGCAAGTAGTTACTTTTAACTTTACTCAGAGGTGAAAAGACTGGCTTTTAATGTATTTAATAATCCTTGAAAATACTTTGTTTCTCTTTCTCTGGATGAAATAGGCACTAAACGTGGACCTTAGTGGAGTATCTGAGCGAACAGTGTATAATATTATTAAAGAAAATAGAATTATTGTAAAAGTCTCACATCCCAAAATATCCCCAGGAAGAAACAAGACATTTATTGAAACTTAGGTAAATAAATTACAAATGCTTTTTTCTTTTGAAATGAAATTCGTTCACTTAAAAAATAACACTCAGAAATAGAAAGTAGCCCCACTCTTTCAAATATATCATATTTTCATCTGCAAAAAATATTACATGAATTAAATTTTCGTTACAAAAAACGTGACAGAAATAACATTTTAAGGAAAATGGTGGACGCAAGGAATCAATAAACAGATATTTTATTTAGATGAAACATGGGTTTATGCCGGACATACAGTAACAAAAATTTGGTAATCTACCTCCATCAAAACTAAAAAACAAGCCTTTTTGGAAGGGTGAATTAAAAATTGATACCCTTTTATTATCCTTGGTGGATAATTAAACGGTATCTCGAGGGTTCCGTAAGGATTTGTCTGATGACTTGATGAAATTAATAAAACTGCAGCCTGTACTTGAATGAGTGTATTGATTTTGGGGTGTTAACGACGGATGTTATAATAGTGGTGTTAGGGTGGCTTGTTTTTAAATGGTTATGCCACAAAGTGCTACAAAATTAATAAGGTGCGGTCTTACCGCTCCAATATGTATATATACAGATTGTTTACATTTAAAATGACTTACAACTAAACATTTGGTGTTTCTTCGCGATCAATCGCCTTCGAAACTAGTGAATGAAACTAAGCTATAGTAAATGTTGTTATACGTGATAGACAAGTGATTTTTGTTTTGAGTGAATAATTCAAAAGTGAATAGCGATATGGTTTATCTCCAAAAGTTAAGTTTCGGAACCGAACCTTAAAACTATACCTAAAGTTCAAATGATTTGAAACTGTGTTCGAAAAGGTTTTTCGTGAACAATCACTTAAGTCTCAAAGGATATGGAAAGAGCTTACTTGTCTTTCCTGCGATGCTCTCGTCTATGGTAGGAGCTGTCTCAGGGTGGAAACTACCCTCGGTAAGTACACCCCTTTTATATTTTTATTCAGTTATTAGTGGTTCCTTATTCTCTGTTGTAGATAGCCTCAGCAAGATTCCGCGCCGACGAGATGGTAGAAACTTGACTGGTACAACCCTTATGCTGCTAGCAAGGACGAGAAAGGAAGGGCGGTTATGAAAACCCTAAACTAGGATGATATGGCGTTATATTCGAGCCCAAAGGAAGGAGGCCTAAAATAATAAAGGCAGGTGAGTAAAATTCATACCTAAAGCGTACTGTGGGCATTAAGCGGGACACTTACCACTGATGTAATGGGGCCTCAAAGTGTAAACTAATATAGTCAAAAGAAAATCCACAATTTGCGATAAATAGATCCCTAGGTCTACTAATAATTACTTTTGGCAATGATCTATTTCCTTATACTTGTAAAAATCCGGAAAACCGATACGTGCAACTCACGAGAACCAAGATCTAAGGACAGTTTTTTCTTCCATTTAAATCAGAAAAAACCGGAAACCGTTAGGCAAAATGGAGGCGATTCCCGCAAGAAAGTTCTTCTTCTTCTTGCCTAAATATGTTATAAACTGACAGCCAAGGTCTCAATCTTCAGGGTCGCCGAAACCTTAAGCCATTTAGGACAACCTCCTAACCGAGAAGAATATTCGACAGCCGTCATATTTTGTTTGCTAACCTGACTTAACTATGTTGTTGTGATCGACTAATAATATATTTAATTTATTTCAGGAAATTAAAACGAAAAGACTAGAAACGAAGGAGATTTAGGAGTACTTTTTCCTGTGGAGACAATATTCCTTTATACAATGTTACCTTACTTATAAAATAAATGTTTTGCCAAGTGGGAAGAGTTTATTTACCATATAAAACGCAAGAAAACCATCAAAAGAACGGAACATTTGGTGATTGTAACAAAATCCAATAGGAAAAAGAAATCGTTTAATAATAACCCACATTGATGCACCGATGGATTTTTGCCAGAAGGTTTATTAATGTTCGAGTCAAAGAAAACAAAAGACTACCATGAAGAAATGGAAGGCCCTATGTTTACAAAATGGTTTTAACATATAAAAAATATCCAGCCAACTCTGTTATTGTGTTGAATAATGCATTCTGTCACAGTCAATTATAGGAGTCACTACCTACAATAAGATAAAAAAGAGAAGATATGTCAAATTGGCTTTATTCTAAAAATATTATCTCCTCCTTAATCCTTGATGGCAGAATTACTCGTAATAGCAAAGCAACATAGAAACAAATTCAAGAAAATATATTATAGACGAGGCTCGGGCAACAATATTCACTCTCGGAATTAAAAGTGGCACTTTAGTCCCTCGGTATATAATATACTATTTTCTGCAACCATTTTATCTTTTGTCCAACTATAACATCGATTATAATCAAAGAAGGATGTTCCAGACTAGGTATAAATTTCGTCTTAAACCATTTTTCAAAATTTTCAGTATTCATATTAATATGGTAATCCCCATTTTTTGTTTGACTTTTAAATATAAGGTCTGCATTTTTTATAAACCCTTCTTCATTGCCACTATGGGCAATTATGTATCGAATTCCATGTCCTCTTTCTTTACTTGCAGTAGCTGTCGTTTCATCTAGCCAACTTTTTCTGTCAATTCCCTTGCTATATACCCACATCTCATTCATAAATACAGGCATAAAATTTCCCAGCTATATCCCCTTGTTAAATTTTTGAAAACGACATTTTTTAAGATTGATGTTTGTTCCAATAAAAACGGTCTATTGTTACTTCTTTTAAAGCAAAAGACATTTTTCGAATCCATGTATAAATTGACCGTACAGAACATTTCACATCAGGCATTTCTTCCGAAAATCGTTTATGTAAAAATTTCATTGTTACATGTTGCGCACCTTCGTGCATCTTATTTATAACTTACCTCAACTTATTTAATATTAAAGAACTGAATTTTATTTTACTTTGGCCTACTTTTTTAGACAATGTTTCTGCATTTTTACATAATCTGTATCAGAATTTGTTGATTTACTAAGTCTACAGATAGTTTTCTGCAAAATATTTAATGCCCTACATTTAGGATTAAAGTTTTCGATTGATCACTAAATCGTTACACCATTTTGTTGAATAGGTACTTTTGAAACATCAAAATATACAAATTTTTCAGGTAAAAATTAAGCAACAAATCATCTTTGTGTGTGATTTATTTCATTAATGGGAAGTCAAAATTAAAGTGCAACCTGCTTTAATGAGATCGACTATCGTTGGTCAACGTTTACATTTCACATACCCCCCAATTCATTTCTTCGCTCAAATTGAACCCTAGTAGGTGATCGTCGACCTCTGAGGGCGATATAGACCACTTTGGGTATTATCGCTCTAGAGCAGGGGTGTACAACAGTGTCGTTTTGGTGGCTCGCCTGCCGTTGACCAATTTGGCCCGCCTACGTCAACAAATTATACATTTTTCAGTAACAAACTTGCATTTAGGCTGACAACTTTTTTTTAGAAAACTCGATCAGCAGGATGGGATGGGTTATACATTATAAGCTGACGACCTTCGTTTTTTTTGTGTCGAATTTTTGTTTTTTTTTTTTTAGAAATCTGAACCGACTAATATAGGCTCAGGCCTTTCTTGGCGGCCCTCGTACAGTTACGGTTTTTCAAATCTTGCCCTGTGCAGGCCTGCTCTAAAGGCTGAAGAAAATACAATTTGGGATAAAAAGTAGGGAAAATCGGCAGATGAATTAATAATGTTAAATAAAGCTACGATCCCTTTGGTTTCTTCTACTCTGAAGGGTCTCAAGGTGACAAAGAGTTTGTAATTTGTCATAATTACATCTGAAATTGACAGGAGCGATTACAGATTTAAAAGCCATAATACGTAAACATTTTCTTTGAACCTTTTCTATAATATAGACCTGTACATAAAATAGATTCCATACAGCGGAGGCATAATATTCAATATAAGATTCAACTAAGGAACAATAAATAATCTTAAAACACATCAGATTCTGAAAATCAGAAGTAGTTCTTCTAAGTAAACTCAACAAAATTAATGCTTTATTAACTGAAGCCGTTATATAAGATTGTAAAGAAAGGCTGGATTCTAGTATCACACCCAAATCTTTTACCTCTGTAATAGTATTTAGTGTTATGTCATTGATTATATAGATATATTCAATAGCCCTATATTTTTTGTTAAAATTGATTAAGTGGAATTTACTTGTATTTAATTCCATACCATTTGTATTACACCATTGGACCAAGTTATCCAAGTCTTTTTGAAGGCAAATACAATCATAACAAAACAATTTGTTTCTGTTTAACTCAGTTTACTGAAATTAATTTTTTTCATTTGAACTTTAATTTAGACAATATTAATTCATATAGTTAAGTACATTTTTAATATTAATTCAGATCAGATTTATATGGAAAATACAGGGCGTCATTAAGAATGGGACACAGAACAACTGAAGATTCTCTAATTTAAAATAAGACGATTTAACGAAACATGCTTGGATAAAATATTACTCATTTAAATTTTTCTTTGGTTTCTTTAAACTTTGGGGATAAGAGGATACATTCCTTAATTTGGTAGGGGACAATTCGGGTTTATATTTGCAAATTTCCAAAAATTGCATATGTTATTTGTTTTTAGAATTTTATCAAATGTAGAGGGATGTAGAAATAATTAAAACGTGTCAAATATCTTTTAAAGGAGTCTGGCAGGAAAAACTTTTGTATTTTTAAAAAAAGCTAAATTTTTTTGTTTGTTTTCTAATTAAGAAAATTTTAAATATTGTTTAATATTAGGATTTACCTGAAATAGTGGTATTATGAAATCCTCCTGTAGAAAACCAATGCAATCTATAGACTTCAAAATCCACCACATTGCTTGTAAATGCAATCATAAATGCCTGATAAAAATAAAATGAGTTATTTTAACGTTGCTTTTAACGTGTGAGCTAAAAGAAAATTCTTTAGAGTTTAATACTGTTTTATACTTGACACATCCAAATAGGTTAGCCACACTATAAATGTTCATGCAAAATTACCAATCAGCTTGAAGAGTATCATTTTAATAAAAAATAAATCTTGGGCCGAATTTCGGCCCTGGGTAGCTATTCTCGAATTCGAGTCAAAGCACTCTTATCTATCAACCCTTAGATTAGATTTAATTAGGACTATGGGCCATGTGGCCTCCCCCACCTCGACCTTTTCAGATCTATTGTGGATATCCTTTAATCATTGTGTAGAGTACCTTGTCTAATGCGGTCTTTTGTAGTAAACTCCATAGACTGGAAAGTAGTTCTCCGGTATAGCTAGTTGCCCTTGGTTTTTCTTCTCCAAGTGTAAGGAATCTCAGTCTTACTAGACCTTCGCAGTAGCACAATACGTGTTCTGCCGTTTCCTCTTCTTCTTGACACAATCGGCACAAGGCCTCTTCTGTCAGACCGATATTGAACATATGTTTGTTAAGCCTACAATGCCCTGTTAATAGACCTACTAGTATTCTAGTATTTTTCCTATTAAGGCTTAGTAGATGCTCGGTGAGTTTAGACGATGGTCCTTTTAAGAACTTTTTGGCCTGTCTCTGTCCTGGTGAGTTTTCCCACCACTCCTGAGATTTTTTAAACATCCACTGCTTTGTGCATGTTCTGATAGTTGTTTTTGTTACACCACAGAAGGGTTCTGGGCCAATAAGAGCATTTGATGCTCCTTCTCGGGCTAGTAAATCAGCCTCTTCATTGCCTTTGTGTCCCCTGTGGCCTGGTACCCACGCTAAGGTTAGTCTGTATCAACCCTTATCTAAACAATGTATAACGCCACAACCTACTATAAATTTTTAAAATTCAGCATCAGAATCGTCAACTTTAAGCTAAACTGAATTTTATTCGAAAGTGGCTAGCACACCATTACAACCTACCTTTCCGTCTAAAACACAGCCTATTATATTTCAATCATTAAAGGGCATTAAGCTCAAAGAATATTTGCTATCGGATCAATCGTAATCCCAAAAAAAATAGTGTTTGCATCAAGGATCTCCAATAATAAAATCTGTGTGTACCTAACAAATAAAAATATTGTTGATGACTTCATAATAATTAAACATGGAGGGCGTATCAAGGTGAAAAATGAAAAAATCTTAGCACGAAGCTTAGCACACCAAGTGAAAGGCTTATATTGTCAAAAGTATGCCCTTCTATTTCAAATGACATCATAGAGAAGTAACTTCAAGATCTAAATTTAAAAATGCTTCAAGCATCAAGTATATATTTTACAACCTTCATCTCTTTTACCAGACTCCATAATAATCACCTACGAAAATAATCTTTCTCGATATAGATAGTTTATGTTGTTATTATTGCAAATAATTCGGCCATTTATCAAACGAATGCACCCTATCGCCACCACAGCCCAATGTGCAAATAACACAAAACTTATCAGTATCAGCTACTACAAATGCTAACACCTCTTTCTCCTTAATAAATACTGAAAATAATTCCTTGATAATAAATTCAACCATTCCTAGCACAAATATTTTATTGAATACTCAACCAACATCCCAAGATCTAAATACTCCCGAGACAAGCAATCCAAGTCCAAATATTCAACCAAAAATACATTCTATAAACATAAACAACGAAAATCAAAACCATAGCACTAAAGAATCCTCCAAACGAAATGCAACAGAAATTGATACACCACCAATAGACGATGAAAATATCTCTAACACTTTTATCAAACAAAAAAAAAGATCAAACCTACTATAAAAATCACTAATGTAGTACAACAACAAATGTATCCTATCAGAGAACTATTTAATAAAGAGAAACAAATAATATAAATTGAAGAAACTGTCGACCTTTAAAAAAATATCCCTGTCTCAGCAGATCCAATAATCTTAGTATATAATTACACTTCGGACACTTTAGTACTATTGCAGCTACTTGCCAGAATACATAGTTTTACAACTGATAGCAACTTCAGGATGAAATGTACCAAAACAAAAAGAAAAATTATAAAAAAGCTGAAACTGCTAAAATCAGAGGAAATAGATTTTGATTTAAACGCATCGTTTAGTTCATCTCAGGAATCACAAATAGAATTTTATTAAAGAACTTAATCTACTACAATGGAATATAAATGGGTTCTATGCCCATTACAAAACGTTCAAAAAACTATTTTCCGAAATGTCTTCATCAATAATATGCTTACAAGAAACGAACTCACTATTATTCAATCAAAAACCACTCAGGCTCTTTCAAAAACAGATAAAATCCGGAAAGAGCAAGTGGAGACGTATTAATATTCGTAAATAATTCATTTGAGTCTCAATTTATTCCTATTATCATAAACTTAGAAACCGTAGCAGTATCAAAAAAAATTCCAAACCCAATTAATATTTGCAACATTTACATTCCTCCTGATTATCCAATAACCACCGAAGAAATTGCCAACATTGTGTCGTAAATTCCATCACCTCGATTATTACTGGGAGATTTCAACAGTCACAATTCATTATGGGGTTCTTCCACACTTAATGCTAAAGGAAAGGTCATCGAAAACATTCTTCAAACAATCAGCATGAATTTTCTTAACGACGGAAGACCTACTAGATTGAACTTACATTCAGGTACAGAATCAGCAATCGACTTGTTACTGTGTGATCCAATTCTCTCTTCTCTTCTTTCTTGGGACCCTATTTCATATTTGTATGGAAGTGACCATTGCCCAATAAAAAATCTGCATAGTGTCTGATATTTTATTAGATAAAATAAAACATATTCCAAAATGGAATCTTAAACATGCCGATTGGCCCAACTTTACAATTTTTATTGAAAGAAATATTCACACCCTAACAGAAAACTTCCAGACAATAAATGTAGATGAAATCTTAAATTCATTCATTAAATTAATCGAAGATACTACAGAAAAATATGTTAAAAAAACAAAACCTCTTAAACAACAAACGCGTCTTCTTGTATATATAAGTCTAAATACTCTAAATAGTTATTTTTTTTCTCATTTGCATGTATATCAATAACATCATGTATAACAGAATAGTTAGGCTTCATTTTGTACGCGACTCATATTTGAAGGAATATCTTACATTAGTAACCACACCTACATATGTGACGGCTTGCAAAATAACTAACCAAGCTCCCAATCCGGTTACTCTTTGAGGAATAGGTCTTCTGTAGTTCCTCGTGATTTTTGAAGCGTCGGTTCTTAACTCGCCGACGCATGTTGCAAATGCCAGTAACGGTGCCAAAGGAAATGCCGCTATGAAAAATACGACAAATCCATACAAAATCACTAAAATAATAATTAAGTACAGTTAATAAAATTGAAAGGGGTAGAATACAAAGAGTATCTCGGTCTGTTAAAGTTAGATTCAGCAAATTGTGAAAACTAGATATACTTAAATTAGGGTTGCCATTCGTCCCAGTACACCGAGACATGTCACCGGTTTGATACGTCTGTCCCGGTCGTCCCTTAATATTGGAGTTTTATTAGATTTGTTTCAACACACAATAAAACCATCCTGTGTACTGTCCAGTCAAATTGGACTCATGATTGTATGTAGCATATGACCGGACAGTTGTGACTGTCCTTGTTTCATTTAGCTGTTGCATAGTGGACTAAAGAACGCCGCAATTGCCTTCAAGTAGAAATAGTCGAAAGCATGATTCAATGAAAATTCAATTTCAAAATGACATGTACGGAATTTCATAAGTACGTTATTGGTAAATAATTGTAACAGGTGAAAAATTTGAAAAAATATAAAAACAATTAAGAGAGAGACACACTGTTCTAACACTACGCTACCTGAAGAAATGTCAAAAGCATCTGACACCGTGTATTTTTATTGTGTGCATACTATTCTGATGCTATCTCATGCCATCACGTGACGCGATCTAACGTGTTTTGAATCTCGACTTGTTTTTGTTTTTCTTCTAAAATTTAAAAAAAATTACTGCACATTCCATTTCTTCGTATAACTCATCTGAGAAATTACTACTCTCCATAATTTCTGACTGAATACTAGTTTATAAATTTATTTGAAAATAATGTATAAGGGACCTAAGTTGGAAAGGCTTTTGCCAGTTCTCTTACTTTATACACATGATTTGAGAGTTTTGTCGCGGAGCTAACCGAAGTGAACGCAAAACATTGGCTTGAAAAGTTACTTTAAAAATACTAATACAAATTCGCGAAATAGTTTATTAAACTGTGAATAGCTGTTGAAATTTTGTAGAATTATGATTTCGGATATTATTACTCGTTTAAATAATTATTTATATCCCATAAATAAGTTACGTTTGCCCGATTCCGCCAAAAATAATTTAAAATGTTTGGTGTTATTTTTATTCTATAATACGACAATAGCGAACAAACATTAGTCCTCCGGCGGTGTTTGACGTTTATCATCTGTTTACCTACCAAAGGCCTTTCTATTTTCTGTCCCTGCTCTAATTTGGTATCATAATGGAAACAGTGTGCACACAACGCATCTGAAGCATAATGTCTGGTGGCGTACCGTAGTGTCGGAAAAATGGTGGAACAATGTATCTGCCTTTGGTGTTTATTTTCATGTTTGATTATTTAAACTGACTTGTTATGAAAATTGGGTTAATCAAGTTAAATTGGTAATTTAATGTTTTTTACCAGGTCCTGGTCAGTACTTAGACTATTATGGCAACCCTAACTTAAATATGTGTTGGAATACAAAGGAACCAAATAAATTTTGTAACTCAACGTCTTTTATTGAATACTAAAAACATGCATGTGAATAGCATTTTTGTTATTTTAAAATACAAAGGGCATAAGTATCCTTAGCCCGTTCGGGGATTTTTTCACATTCTCGGCTATGATTTTTATGTATTATATGTTTTGTGCCTATTTATTGTACCTACGTTAAGATTCTCCATAGGTAAACTAATAATACTCTAAATATAAATATTTTTTAAGCATTTATTTCTGACGAATAAATATTTATAGTGACGAATGAAAGTTTTATCTTAGTCTTCAAGCAGATTATAGTATATTTCAAGAATAACGTAGAGTAATTTTTTTGAAAACAAACTAATTTGGTTTGCGCATTTTAGTACGTGTGCTTGCCGTAAAACTGCAATATTTCAGTTTGTTCTACGTTGTTTTCGACTATTTACGCCCGTATGCACCGTACACGTTTAATCCAGATCAAGGGTTTAATCGCGTTTAATACCATTTATAGCTATGGTACTAAACGCGATTAAACCCTTGATCTGGATTAAACGTGTACGGTGCATACGGGCGGTAGACATACAATTTTGCATATCATCGTGATGTGTATAATGTATTTACCTACTATTGTTGGAATAATAGGCTACGTAATATTCAGCTAATCATAGACGTACTTCTAGGAATAACATTATTTGTGTACTTTCATTCTTATCAGAATAGTTTTGTCTAGTCCATTATAAGCGAGTGAAGAGATCTGACGTAATTGTGTTTTTTACCATTGTTAATAGTGATTTTATTGAATATGGAATTAATTGGCAATTATAGACCCGTTAAAAAAAATAAAGGTAGGCCGTTTATCACTTAACCAAAAGAGTGTTATACTGAATACTGTTATGTCTAGAATTATTTTAAGTAACAGAATCTTTCTAATACTGGTGCTTTAATAATAAATTTTTAATATTTGGCATTAATTTAGTGAGGTTTAATCTTCTCGGTCCATTTTATTTCTTTTTTTTTTTTTGTTAAAAAGTTGGCAAGCGCTATGAAACCTTTTTTTGCTAGAGATGAAGACGGAAAAGCAATTAAAAACTTTCTCTCGATATTCCATGTTAGCGCACCTCGAGATTACCCTGTATGCAAGACGTGACCACATGGTACGGACAGGAATGTATCACTTCATAGAAATTAATAAAGACGTGTCCAGGCAGTCAGACTACCCTTCATAAGAGAGTACGACCACTGCGCGCCACGTTCAATTTATTCGGTTTAACACTTAAATTCGTGAATATTCTAACATCAGAAGTAGGATAGTACACATACGCTGCCTTTTCGGCTCGTTCTGACGTATAGGTGTATTAAATATAGTTTATATTATAGTTTATGTGTGCTGATTTGTTGGTAAGTCGATTTCCTAATTAAATGGTGATTTTGTCTCAAAAGTTGAATATTTAAGGTTGATTTTCCTATATTTTGCTCTTTTGGCCTTTAGATAAAATTTAAAAACAGTAAAGCGTGAGTTATATCACCCATACTATAGAAGATAAGATTTTGCATAGTTAAAATTTTAAAATAGTTTGTTTATATAAAAGTAGTTTATGCAGTTAAAGGTTGGTTCCTAGTTAATATTCAAGCCATTAACATCTCTAATTATTGTATTTAAGTAAAATAAAGGCCTTATTATTTATTTGTTGTGGGTTAGTATTAAAACTCGATTAATTAATTATAATCGTGTACTTAAAACTTTCAAATAAAACGGACATTTTAATTCTGCACACTAACGTTGCACCAGTCTGGTCATATAATATATGAGTCATTAAGTAATAAAAAGTAGTAGAAGTTTGTTTGACGCGTTTTTTTTTCGATATCTTATCGGTGTACATTTGATAAAATTATTTTGAAAATGCAAACAAAAGACGAATGGTTTTTGTTATTTAGTATTTGTTCTAAAAGACAAGAACACAAATTGATTTTCGCGTGTTATTGTTTTAGATTAAATATGAGTGAACAGGATAACGACAATGTTAATTTTGATAGGGCAACAAATGTTGTCACAGATGATGTTACTGACACAGAGGGAACAGTAGTTAGTGAAAATAGACAAAATAGCGTACAGAACATTTTGGAAAAGTTACTTAAAGATTTTTTATCTCGAGCGGACAGTCGTTCTGTGCCAGTACCAACTACCGTACAACACGATTCGGTTACTTTGCCAAAATTTATACCTGGAAAAAATAATCCAGAAGAATGGACGCGCAAAATTTCTGAATTGGCCACCTTGTTTGAATGGAATGATGCAACAATTTTAGCTCGAGTGGGAGGTTTGTTTGAAGGGGAGGCAGGAGAGTGGTTTCACGCTTGGGTTCCAACGGGGAACCGTACTTGGGAGGCTTTAAAAGAAGATCTTTGTTTAAGTTTTACAGGGTCAGTAAATTTTGGTAAATTGATGCATGATGCGATGCTATTTTCTTCAACATCCGAGGGTTGTTCGACTTACGGCCAATATGCTCGCCTTAAATTACAAAAATTAAATAGTTTAAAAATTCAGTTCACTCAAAAACAAATAGTTAGTTTAATTTGTTACGGAATTAAAGAAGTAACATTACAGACCCAATTAGGTCAAATTGGACACACAACAGTGTCTTCTTTAATTGATCACTTGTGTAGAATTCAATATAAGCCAGTTAATAAAACAAATACAAATAAAAATAATTACTCTCATTTTAAAGATCCATCGCACTCTAACAATAATCCGAGTACCTCTAGAATCGAAAATAGGTCAAATAATCAGTCGGTATTTTCGAGAAAACCAGGATTAAGATGTTACGAATGCAACGAGTTAGGCCATTTAAAAGCTAAGTGTCCTCAAAAAAGGGCGCAAAAACGCGAAAGGGGTGAAATTATCGCTTCGAGTTCAAAAATCCAATGTCATTTTTGTAATAAAATAGGGCACAAGGCCCAAGATTGTTTTTCCAAAAAGAGAAAGTTAGGCGATCAAAGCAAAAGGGTAAATTTATGTCGCTCCCCTAATTTAGAGTCGGAAACATCTGACCTTAGATTGTACTCTTTAAAAATTGATAGCCAAAATTATCAAGTTTTGATTGACACCGGAGCTGAAGTGTCTCTTTTACGCGAATCAGTAGTAAATAAAATGAAGTCCGCGCCAATAAATAAAAAAATAGAGGTTCGAGGTATAGGAAGTGGTACCTTGATTTCAGAAAATTCTATAAACGTTAAAATTACCTTAAATGACCATGAGATTCCTTTTAAAATGCACGTCGTTTCAGATGATTCAGTTTTTTGTGATGCAATTATTGGTATGGATTTTATAAATATTCCCGGAATTACCTTAAGATATGACAAACATGTACCCAAACTAAATTTTATTTCATCAGATTCGTTGAATAGAGAGCTTCAAGCTTTAATTGAAGAATACAAAGACATCTATACCACTGGTAATAAAGTACCCACTCTTATTATCACTGGTGAATTTAGAATTCGTTTAACTTCTGATAAAGACATAAACTACAGACCATATCGGTTTTATATGGCTGAAAGAGAAACATTGCGACTTATTATTAATGATTTATTAACAAACGAAATTATTAGGCCGTCTAAATCACCATACGCTAGCCCCGCATTTTTGATCAAAAAGAAAAATGGGGATTTCCGTTTGGTTTGCGATTTCAGAGCACTGAATTGCATTACCGTTAAAGATCGTTTCCCACTACCCCGGATTGATGATCATATTGACCATCTCAGTAAAAGCAAATATTTTACGACCCTTGACATGGCCGCTGGTTTCCACCAAATCAAAGTACATCCTGATTCTATTGAAAAGCTAGCTTTCGTTACCCCTGAAGGTTCGTTCGAATATTTGAGAATGCCGTTTGGGCTAGCTAACGCACCTTCCATATTTCAGCGCGCCATTAATACTGCACTTCATGAGGAAATACGAACTAATATTGCATTGGTCTATATGGACGATATCCTGGTTCCAAGTGAAAACAAACGTCAAGGAATTGATCATTTACGTCAAGTATTGTCTACTTTAAGAAAACACGGATTTTCGGTAAATATAGACAAATACAAATTTCTTGAGACACAAGTTGAGTATTTGGGAAGAGTTATTTCGAACGGTTCGGTAAAACCATCGCCAAATAAAGCTGAAGCGTTAAAGATCATGAAAATTCCCTCTAATTCCAAAGAAGTTTGTCAATTCCTGGGATTGGCAGGCTATTTCAGGAAATTTATTCCTGAGTTTTCAGTTAGAACCAAATTAATTTCAAATTTGCTTAAAAAAGATGTCGAATTTAATTGGACATTAAATCACACAGATATTTTTAATGAAATAATAAAAATCCTAATTGGAGAACCAGTTTTGGCAATTTTCAATCCCAGTCTTCCACTAGAATTGCACACCGATACGTCCAGTAAAGGTTTTGGTGCGGTCATTTTCCAAATTCATGATGGAATTAAAAAGGTTGTCTCTTATTTTAGTAAAGCAGCTACTCCAGCAGAGTCCCGGTACCATTCATATGAACTCGAGACTCTAGCTGTTATCACACTACATTACAGGCATTACTTTATCGGGGTTCCATTTACATTAGTTACTGACTGTAACGCTTTAAAAAGTTCTCAATATAAACGTGATATCTTGCCAAGAGTAAGTCGATGGTGGGTATATTTACAAGATTTTGAGTTTACCATTGAACATCGAGCTGGTGCACAAATGGCTTACGTTGACTGTTTGAGTCGGCATCCTCCGAGTTTGTTGGGTGATAATGCCGGGCATGAAGGTAAAACAGTTCATGTTGGTCAGGTTTGTCAGACGAATTTGGAGGATGTGGATTCGGATAGCCAAAATCTTATGCCAGTAGGTTGGTTATCTGTACAGCAAAGCACAGATGGTGAAACTATTGAGTTAAAAGAAAAACTTGCAAAAGGCGATTTAGATAAAAATCAATTTTGTCTCATAGGTAACACACTATGCCATTTAACTGAAATAAACTCTAAAAAAGTCACGCAATATTTTGTTCCGAAAAATGCCCGATTTGCTTTGGTAAAAGAATACCATGATGGGCAAGCGCATATTGGTCGTGATAAAACACTCTTGAGTATTGCTTCACATTTTTGGTTCCCTAGTATGAATAAATTCATAACAAAATACATTAATTCTTGCCTTACTTGCCTCACCCGAAAGCGTGTACCTCGTAGAGCCTTAATGGAAGTTAGTTCTATAACAAAACTCGATATACCATTCCACACATTACATATAGATGTACTTGGGCCACTTCCAAAAACAGAGGATGATTTTACCCATGTATTTGTAGCTGTAGATGCCTTCTCCAAATAGACCTTTTTATATGCACTTAAAGGAGTAAAAACATTCGACGTGGCTGAATGCGTGCAGGACATTGTATATCTCGTGGGAACTCCAGCTCGAATCATTGCCGATAACGGTTCCTCAATAAAAGCAGTCCCAAATCATAAACTAATGGCCGAATGGGACATTGACTGGCATTTTATTACTCCGTATGTACATCAATCCAACGGACAGGTGGAAAAATATATGTTGTTTGTTACAAATCTTTTAAGAGTACAAGCCAACGTAGCTGAACAATGGTCGACTATAATCTCTAAAATTCAGCTTGTTATTAACTCTACAGTACATAAGACAACAGGGAGAACTCCGCTTCAAACATTATTTGGGTGCGATAATCGATTACCAGAAATTCAACGAATAATCAATAATGCATCAAACGATAAATTACCTGTAGTGCTTCCAGAAAGAGAAAAGTGGAGACAATTCGTCAGTCAGCGTATCAATAAAAATGCAGTTGATCAAAAAATATATTGTAAATCAAAGAAATCTTCTGTTCCTAAATTATTTAGTGTCGGCGATCACGTCCTTATGTCACGAGAAGCTATAAAGCCAAGAAAGCTTGAGTCTGGTTGAACCGGACCCTATAAAATCGTTAAAATATTAAAAAATCATCGATATGAATTGCGCAAGATAGATGATGTTGCTGAGTCACTACGTACAACAGTGGCCGTTCCTTCTCAAATGCGTTTATGGGCAATGGAATGGACTCCAGATGATTGCGCAGATATCTTGGAAAGTTATCTAGATGGAGATGACGATAAAAATACTAAGGTATTTATAAACTCTTTATAGGGCCGTGTTAGCGGTTACACGGTTGGTTAATTTTACTGTACGATAATACTATCCTAGGTCTCTACTTACAACAAACGGGTCGTTTAAAACCTTTAGATTTCATTATCTGCATTTTGGCCGGTTTTAATAAAAACCTTTCGTGCCAAGTTTAAGTTGTTGGCCGGTTTTAATAAAAACCTGTCGTGCCAAGTTTAAGTTGTTGGCCGGTTTTAATAAAAACCTGTCGTGCCAAGTTTAAGTTGTTGGCCGGTTTTAATAAAAACCTGTCGTGCCAAGTTTAAGTTGTTGGCCGGTTTTAATAAAAACCTGTCGTGCCAAGTTTAAGTTGTTGGCCAGTTTTAATAAAAGCCTGTCGTGCCAAGTTTAAGTTGTTAGCCGGTTTTAATAAAAACCTGTCGTGCCAAGTTTAAGTTGTTGGCCGGTTTTAATAAAAACCTGTCTTGCCAAGTTTAAGTTGTTGGCCGGTTTTAATAAAAGCCTGTCGTGCCAAGTTTAAGTTGTTGGCCGGTTTTAATAAAAACCTGTCGTGCCAAGTTTAAGTTTTTGGCCGGTTCTCTGGTTGGTTTTATTAAAGACCTGAGGCTAAGTAACATAATTGTTATATTGTTGTTTTTCCGTTTCCAGAATGATGCTTCTGACCAACCTAGTAATCAGGATGAAGCCGAATAGACTAGAAAGAGTCGTGTCAGAAAATCTATCTGCAGGTCACCAGATTTATTTATTTTTTTCTGATCATATAGTATCACTATAATTGTTATTCTAAATAAGTTTTTTTTTGTAAGTATATCTAATGTAAGATTAAAAGAGTTATGTATTTCTATTTATATAATATGTGGACTACTTATTTCTTATTGGGCCGAGAACGTCCCAATTTCAGGATGGCCGTGTTAGCGCACCTCGAGATTACCCTGTACGCAAGACGTGACAACATGGTACGGACAGGAATGTATCACTTCATAGAAATTAATAAAGACGTGTCCAGGCAGTCAGACTACCCTTCATAAGAGAGTACGACCACTGCGCGCCACGTTCAATTTATTCGGTTTAACACTTAAATTCGTGAATATTCTAACATTCCATAATGCGGGATAAGTAACAGGTATATTGTGAGAGGGTTACTCTGGAATTGAGAAACTATTCTCACTGGTGGCGTTCGGACGGATTTGCTCGAGCGCCAGATTATTTTAATGTGGTTTACTCCACTGTCTTTTGAAGTCGTATCAAAAGAATACTCAGGTAGCTACAGTGAAGAAATAAAATTTCCAAGGGGTAACGTTATTATAGCCAGGTAACGTAAGTGTAAGCAACGGGCTTTAATCGTTACTTATACGATGTTCACTCTAGGTTCTGACAGGTATAAAAAAATAGGTAGGAAGCCTGTAACTCTTGACAGGTGTAATATTACTAATATTAATAATAATAAGCCAGAATAACTAATTTCCATTTTGAAACTTTACCTTAAGTTCTTTGTTAGTGTTTATTGTATTCCGATCAGTTCCTCTTGTAATACGAGATCCGTTTCTGCAACGTCACCATATTGATTGATTATGCGTTGTGGTATTACCATATTCAAAATATTATCAAACCTTATTTAAAAATCTGCATAGAGTACATTTAAATGTTTAATGTAAGTTAAAACGTCATCTTCCTGACAGTTTGTCTGTGACAAATTGGGAAATTGGTAAAATCAGCCCGGGTCGCGTATTACCATTGTTTACTATTATCCAGAACAATCATGCTCCGAAACGCAGTAGAGAATGGCCTAGTAAATATGCGTATTTTGTATTGCCAACGTTTACTCCGATTCAGCACATTACCATTATGACAGTGTTCTGAATCGTAGTAACCAATACCAATGGTCTTTAAACACGCGCGTAATTTAGATTTCCAATCTTTACTGGTATTCAAAACAACTTTTAAAATTTTAGCAATAATATAGACGCGTTCATTGTCTATTGCACTCTGATGGTTATATATTTAACAATATTATAATTTGTGTTATTTTTTGCATAAGGGCATATTATTATTATATGTTAAGGGTTTTGCTACCGCTATTATAGAAAACAAATAAAATAATAATAATTAACTAATCAACTAAGGCGCACATATTAAAAGCCTTACACCTTTATAAAACGATATCTTTAAAAATTTGTATTGAGGATTCTACATAATTGTTTGTGTTGTTACCTCTTGTCAACACATCCTTTCTAAAACACAAACACCATTCTTCTTTCCGTACCCAAAATTTGTTTACGTATGTTTTTAGGTGATGATATTTCTGAACAATATCGTCTTTCATAAATTCATTAAAATAGTCATTTGCTTCTTCAATTGTCAAAGCATACATAATACGTTGAAATAACCTCATTATATGCCTTCGGTTTTCTTTCTGAATACTATTATGACCATTCCACAGCCAACGCCAAAAAGCCTGGCAAACATGAAATATACAGAGGTATAAACGCGGTCTTTCATTTTCTGACACAGAAAATACAGATAATAAAGCGTTTCTTTCAGCCACACTGTCGTCTGTCATAAAAACCTGGGGATAAGGAGCGTTACCAAAACAATCCTCTGGAAGAGACTCTTTTATTAAACTGAAGGCTAGGGTATAATTGGCTTCAGTTTGTGCCATAAGTAAAATACAACCTAACGGAATGGCACCAACTTTTGAGACAGTAAACATGAATGTTACGCAGGTATTAGTTTGGTCGCAGGAACCACTGGAGTCTACGAATACTACTTCCCGTGAAAACCATTCTTTATGTGCACGTAACATTATGGGAGTCAAGATGACAACAATTAGTGGATTTTCTTAAATCACTATTTTACCCATGCCACTTTCGTTATACAGAATAGACTTTTTTCGTAAGACATTTAACACACTTAATTGGTCATGCCCTCCAAAGTTGTTGGATCTAGACTACTAAAAACAATGAATATTTTAGATCTATTAACGAAGGCTTACACGTGAAATATCCTTTTGACACTAACCAAATACAAATATGGCGGCGATAAGTCGGCGCTGTACTGCAGTAAACATTGGCCGCTAGCAACGCGTGCCGTAAAGAACCATTGCTTACTGCGATTCAGAACACTGTCATAATGGTAATGTGCTGAATGCTGAATCGCAGTAAACAGTGGCAATATAAAATAGGCGTATTTATTAAGCCATTCTCTACTGTGTTTCGGAGCATGATTGCTCTGGATAATAGTAAACAATGGTAATACGCGCCCCGTTTAATGTTTTACTTCATTAGTTAAATTCTGGCAGGAAATTCTAAAATTATGGACTTTGTTTTGTTCAAATTTAGACTGTCACTTTGTAACTGCAAGTTAACCTTACCGAATAAATCTGTAAAGTAGGCTTTATATAGTTTCCAACTGATTAAACTTTGATTAAAAATTGGATATTTACTTAGCATCCAAAAACTCCAAAACTATGTCGAAAAGAGCAAAAATCTTATCAAACATAAACCTTTCGAAAGCTATCGTACTTCAATGTAAAGAAGAAATTGATGAAAATTCTCGTCACATTTTCTTTACACAACTGAGCAATTAATCGCGTATTTATTACGTTACTACGAATTCGATTTACTGCGTCAATGATAAATTGAACAGAATCATGCAATCTACTACTCAGATTTTTGGCTACCAAATGTTGTCGATGAACGCAGTGTATTGCTAACACCCTGGGTAAATTTTGTTTTAAGTGGCTTACAAATCCACAGTAGCGTCCAACCATGGCAGTTGCCACATCCGTTTCTACTGATATTATATTTGATGAATGTATCGCTTTTTTACATTGAGCTAGAATAAAGAGGAGATGCTATGACGATGTTAAATTGTCCGCACTTTTGTATTACATTTTTACGTCAATGTCAAATTCGAGATAATATAGCTGGTCAGTTTTGGTGAGAATAAATGCCATTTTTCTTTAAATAGTTTCATATAATGATATAAAATTATTTTCATTTCGTCAGTCTTTAAATTTAAAATTATTGACTTCAGATAAATCAAAGTACGACTCAAGTCGCCATTTTGATTACACTTTTCCGTCACTTAAAGTGAGTCCATTTTGTCATATCGCAAAATAGTGTTTATGTCGTCTCTACTTTTTACTATCTCGATGCTTTTTTCATAATGTGTAACGGTATGTTTTTCATACCGTTATTTTTTAAACACCTTTATTGCCCCATATTTTTCCTTGCCGTGACAATTCTGTCTGTCAGTCGAGAGACATTTTACGATTGACATTGCTTCTTTGAACTTGGTTTCGTGAAGATGAATTTGGAAACATCGAAACCATTTTATCAGATATATTAGGCCTGTCCAACACGAACGAAAACCGTTATATTACCGTACAAATCATGCGCTGTATACAATTTTTGGGCAGAGCGCACGATTTGTACGGTATAATTACAGTTTTCGCGCGTGTTGGAACAAACCTATTAATACGATACTAATATTATAAAATTGTGAAAAAGTTTATTTACAAAATCTACAACAGTACAATTTATTACTGTCGTCAATCTGTTTGTTATGTTTTAAGGTAAAAACTTGACAAAAAACCATCTTGTGTTTGGCGTGCTTGCGTGCGTGCGTGGGTGTGTGATGGTGTGTGGGATGGTGTGTGTGTGTGTGGGTGGGGGCATGCGTGCATGTGCGCATGCATATTGTAAAATTAACAGACAAAATCCGGATTTGCTTCCAAAATTCTGATCAGGATGCAAATAAAAAAAATTTAATAAAAAAGAAAATATAAACAACTCGGGAATTTAACTAATTTCTGCTGGGTTGACTCGGTTTTTCGGGACACAAGACTGAATGAATTTACAGAAATAATTACCCATCAGATAAGTATACAACGAAAAGCAAGTGATTTTCAAATTAATCGGGATTGAAACGTGATCGGAGCTCGGACTATCTATGTCTGAAACCAACTATTCGCAGCCAACAGCTAAAATTCAATGCTTCTCCGTGATTTTCGACTGGCTCACGTTCTGCCGGCTTTCGAGTTGATTTCAAATGCCCGAGGACGGTAGTGGGGACGCGATAGGTTTACAGCAACATAAGATTTAACATAAAATCGACAGTTATTTGCAAATCGCGGGAATATCAGAAAATAATAATTTAAAAATAGGGAAACTTTAAGAACAGGAGTTGATCCAGTTAATTAAAAATAAAAATGAATTTTTAGTTCATTACAGTGTGTGTGTGTGTGTGTGTGTGTGTGTGTGTGTGTGTGTGTGTGTGTGTGTGTGTGTGTGTGTGTGTGTGTGTGTGTGTGTGTGTGTGTGTGTGTGTGTGTGTGTGTGTGTGTGTGTGTGTGTGTGTGTGTGTGTGTGTGTGTGTGTGTGTGTGTGTGTGTGTGTGTGTGTGTGTGTGTGTGTGTGTGTGTGTGTGTGTGTGTGTGTGTGTGTGTGTGTGTGTGTGTGTGTGTGTGTGTGTGTGTGTGTGTGTGTGTGTGTGTGTGTGTGTGTGTGTGTGTGTGTGTGTGTGTGTGTGTGTGTGTGTGTGTGTGTGTGTGTGTGTGTGTGTGTGTGTGTGTGTGTGTGTGTGTGTGTGTGTGTGTGTGTGTGTGTGTGTGTGTGTGTGTGTGTGTGTGTGTGTGTGTGTGTGTGTGTGTGTGTGTGTGTGTGTGTGTGTGTGTGTGTGTGTGTGTGTGT